ATTTATCACAAGATTTTTCATCGCGTAATCGAAAATCAATCGAAAAAGTCGATTTCTTGTGATCAACTCTCATTTACGCAATTAATACCACTGCAACACCCAATATAATGCCTCCTATCGAACCTTTGACAACTGTCATCATCGGTTCGACAGGACGCATTATATTGGGAGATAAATAGATTTCTTGACTTCATGTCAGCTCAGGAATATCTTAAATTAATTGTAGCATCGTTATTGTATGAGTTGGTCACACAACTTTGTGATGAAACTTCACGTTTGTGATTTTCCTCCGGTGTTCAAGAGAAATGAGCTTTAGTTTTTTCCGAACGGTGCACTTTTCGCTGACGTGTGGAAAGCATTTCATGTTTACGTAATCGATGAATTTGTTTTGAATACTCTCAAGTTTTTGAGCGTAAATATTATAAAAATGGTTTCAAATCACTGAGCCGTATGTCAGATCGCTATTAACATATGACATATAAAATGATCTAAGGGTTCTGGGATTTCTTAGTTCGCAGCAGGATCTGATTATGACACCCAACATTTTATTGGCTTCCTTGATGGAGACACACTACATATGTGTTGGTCAAATAACAATTTTGAGTCGAGTACTATACCAAGATCTTTCATTTGCTTGACGGTTTCTAGCTTTCTATTTGAAATTTCAAACGAGGTTGGTATTAGAATTGAATTTCTACTGAAAGTAATGTGGTAACATTTGGATAGGTTGAGGTGAAGACTGTTGTTACAGTAATCAGTGAGCCTGTCAGATCATTCTGAATCAGTATCACATCATTAGGGCAAGTAACAGGAAAAAATACTGCGTACAGCAAATCTGGAAGAATGGAAACACTCGTTTAAGTATATCATTAATGTAAATGTTATTGAACAGCAGGGGTCCCAGATGGGATCCCTGAGGAACGCCAGACGTAACCAGTACAGTTCAAACATGTTCGATTTGTAACAATGTAACCAAGTCATAGCGGTGGATCGGGGTTCGAATCCCGTGGCGGTCGTATTTTTTTTAATTTGAATGTATAGGCAGACACCCAGCAAACATCGAAAGGCGGTAGAAAGCCGGGCCCATGGCGAGAACGGCGGGCAAATGTCGATGCCGGCATGCCTCGAAAGGCCCTCCATATAATTTCGAAGGATTATATGACGGAGGCAGAATGTACACATACTTATGATGGGCCTCTGTTTCCCAGCCGCTAGTCTTCCGCTGTATGTATCCAAGTCCAAGGGCCATCAAAATTTCAACGTAGTGTGCCGTCATCACTCACTCAACGTTGGCATCCCTCGCTCGCGTGAGTTTTTATTTCGATCATTTTGCAGTGGTAACAATGATTCAGTATAACATATATTAATTTCTTTGTTTATGTTGTTTCAACACTCTCAACAGAGATTTTAGTACTGTGTTCAGTTCGTGTTTGGTTTTCTAGTGGATTTTTATACGAAATGGAAGGATATTACAGAGTGAGTGAGGAACAAACATATATACAAACTTGCACAGCTAAATAATTCCCCTATTTTAGATAATAATTTTACAAACACCATTGGACAAACAGATGCAATAATAGTTTGGGCATGTTTAGCGGATACACAAGAATCTAATAATATAATAATATGAGGACTTTGGAGATGCATGAGCTTTCATTACATATGAATCATAAATCTATTTTCAAAACGGAAATCAAAGAGTACCTACTTGAAGAAACAGTTATATTTCAAGTATTACTGTAGGTATGTATGTATAATGTTGCATGTTTTGGATTAGTAGAGAATGAAATCATGCAATCTTTCAGCTACAAAATCAACAACCAGAAGCCCATCAATCACAGATATTAATGAAGAAATCACACCATCCAGACTATGATATAAATTTCTTCATGGTATATGATATCTCACTTCCAGGCAACACCCATATCAATATGATAATGAGTGAGGAATTGTTTTCTTGTGGATTGAACTCTATTGTTGACAATAACTTGATCAATATAATAACTAATTACCTACATACATAACTTTCAAGTTATTAGGTAGGTACATAGGTGATGTAATTTTTGACCTAGAGTTAGCAACTTTTTGAAACAAGTGGAGAAACAAATATCTATCCTGCATGATCAAACACAAATACCTATTATTGTAAATTAAGATGTTCGATGTTTCCATAGTTGTGATATGTATATTGTTTGAGATCATGGCAATAATATACTCACATGGATATTTTCAGTTCTTGTTTTTGTATAGGGTATATATACTGTTAGTTTCCTGGAAATAACTGTGATATCAGGATGCTACCTCAGAGATTTTTATGTAATTATTCAACAACTTCAGGTGAGGAGTGAACTCCACATTTCTGTTATACCCAGCGAGAGGATTCACAAAAAACTGGGAGACCTCAATTCTGTTTTTTGAAGTTCCACATTTTTCAACCAGTTTGAGAATAAAGAGAGTGATGAAGATCTGAGTGAAAATGAGATACTTTGCTTTCCAAGTGGTGATATAAACTGGGAAACCTTTCAAAAAACTTATTTTCACTGGGATATATGCATTACCCTGTAAATTTTTTGACAAACCTAGTTGAAAAATAGGACATCAAAAAACAGAATACCATGAATATTGAATTCATTTAACCCCGTTAACCAACGGCCCTGAAAACCTCCTCTATCGGGGGAATAAAAATTCTCAAGCGGCCAATTAATGGCAGTCTCTGAAAAGTCTTCATCGGGCCAAAGATATGCCATGAATGCGGTACATTTGACTACTTGCTTCTGCCCACCAGAAGCCCTGCAATGTAATAAGCGGCATACTGATGGCTCTAGAGAGGCGGTCGGCTGTCGGCCGCCGGGACACGGGCTAGCCGGCCCAATTTAGTTGTACAATAGAGGACCGCTGTTACCGCTCTCCGGCAAGTTTCATTGTACCTTTAGAGGGCCGCAAAAATCATGTTTGCTGGGCATGCACTGGCCCTGATTACGGCCCTTCCTCTATTGGTACTGGCCCATCAATGTTCACAGGAATTTTGCCGTTATGGCCAAATCTGGACAGCATATAAAAGGGCCAACATAAGGCCGACCAAAATTGTTTGCTGGGGTATTAAAAAAGGCACACTGCGATCAATTAAGGTGAATTTTCTTGTGGCTGGTTATTTTTCCAATAGGAACTTTTTCCCATAAAAATACCCCAAGAACCACCCCCCCAAAATTTCGTCAATATTTAGGATACACAGTGAAAAACGCTTCGAGTTAAATTCGCAGAGTATGTTTTTAAAGTTGAAATACTCCGAAAATCCTACTCTGATAGTGCAATCCACTCCATAGCTATACACTTCTCGCAGATTATCTCTTTTGAAACTAATACTTGATTGAATTTCCACTAATCCCGTATTGAATTCTCTCTACATTCCTGAAATTTCAATAAATTCAGATAACTCAATTCGAGAACAATTATGAAATTGAATTTATACTAGTGTTAACTGACACTACTAAACTTGAATGTCCCACTCTTGTCGATTAAATTGACACACTATCATTGGTCAATTCAATCTATATACGATGAAATATCAATCTATACAGTTTCAGATCGTTTAGTCGTCTACTGGAAAGTGAAATTAGTCATACTGATTATAGTGTCGATGATATAAAGATCATAATATTAACTTCAAGTAGTTTTTTTACTATACCTATCTCAGTTATTTTCCGTTTCGAATTATTATTTCGAAAGAATTATGAAACAGATAGGCTAACTAATTAGTCTAGTGGGACTCGAGTCATTTTCCAAATAACAAACGATTGAAATATTATATCGTCACACTATTTCTCATCCGTCAATTCGCGCGACTGTATAAAGGTGGCGCTGCCGAGACTGCCGAGATTTCGCCGCTGAACGTCTGCCAGAGGCCTATAAATACTGTGACATGTGAAAGAATGATTATTTTAACTTGGATGAAATCTCAACAGTAAGTAGTGACTAGTTTAATCAACTAGTGTTCTATATCAATCTTAAATGTTGAATAAATGAAAACTCCTTATCAACACCTAAACACCTAGTCGTGTCAATTTGAACAATGCAGGAGCAATTTGACATTCACGTAGAGTAAATAATTCAATCAATTTCCGGTGGATCCGACACTGTTTATATTGTGAAATTTACTCTCTACTATTATATCCCAACTCTCAACTTTTGTGACTATGTAATTAATATTCGATTATTGAATTTCAAAAAAAGGTTATGACATTGACACTAGCTTGGGTCTTGAGTGGTATGTTCACTTTCAAAATTGTTTCTTTCAACTCTATTTTGGTGTTTATTATCAATATATTTAGAGAAATAGAGTAAGGTAGAATGTGCTTGCATTGAAAATTTACACTTATTGAATTGAAAAAATCACACTATAACTATATATATACAGTATGATGCAAATGTATGGAATAAATCGGAATAAATTCATTTCAAAACAAGACGACTTCCGAAAAAAATCCAAAAAGTAGAGTTCAGAACTTTTTTATCGATGTATTTTTTCAACTAGACGACCCTTCGATGTTCAATTCTCAGTAGATCTCTGCAAGATTCAGAGTTAACCAAATGATAATCCATTTTAATTTCAATCTTCTTTTGCAAAATTTTGACTATTGGATAGACGATCAGTAGACCTTTCAAACGAGGTGTCACATGACCCCTGTTTGTATTTAAAAAACCGTCCATTACGTCATTACTCCAACACTGGTGACGTAACATCTCTCATATGGATGTCATGAGATGAGGTTTCAAAAATTAAAACTCACGTGTTTTTGGAATTTCTTCAAATGTCGCCCATTTCTGAAATAATGAATTTATTCCATACATTTGCATCATACTATATATACTAAACTATAGAGTTAAATCATCTACTCTAAAGCTTAGTGGGAACAGCTATAGTGTTGAATTTCACTCTATTTTTTTCGCTGTGTATACAGACGCGGTAAGCAGAAAACTTCATTTTTCGAAACGAAACTCACGATTCGAAGATCAGGATGTCCTGGTACTCCGACTTATCCTTGTAGAGAACTTCTTTCACCTCCATGGAGAAGCTCTGTCCAGGCCATAATGGAGAAATCTCGCTGAACCATCCCGCTCGTATATGATCCATTACGGAAAGTATAAGAAACCAGCGTACACGGCTGAAGAAACCACAAAAATGAACGAGTATTGGTACTCTCCTAATAATTATATTTATCGCAAAATGTCATCCAAATTTGTAGATAAAGAGCTGGTACAGGGATCACCGTATGATAACCCCGAAAGTAAAATTATTATCTCCGACAAACTCTTGAATAGTACGGTACAGGGTGTTTCATGTCGATTTCAACTCGCCTATTCGATTCAAGCATAGCTGAAATTGTGTGTGTGGAGAGATTGGCGTAAACCAACCTCACACAAACTTTAAACCTGAAAGATTCGACTTCATTAAGAAGCTGGATCTATTGGTGAAGTGTGAATAGAGGAGTTTAGCTTTGAGAGAGAGAGAATAGTATATGTTATAAATGCCCTTTTGGTAACGAGCGCAGCAGAGCGGAGCGACTGTTCAATAAATGAGTGTCTTGAAGAGTTTATAAACGCGTTACATATTATACTTTTTCTACAAGCGTGCGTGATTCACCCTATACCCGCACGCAATTTAGTTTGGGAAGTGTCATTTTCCCGCAACATTGCGGAAATTTTTTTGCCACACACTAGTGCGGGAAATACAAACAAAACACATTCTTCAATGCTCAACAATCTTAAGAATCTGAAGAATGTGAGCAATGTGACTTTGCGGAAATCATTGTTTTTTTAACAATCCTAAGAATCTGAAGAATGTGAGCAATGTGACTTTGCGGAAATAATTTTTATTTTTAATATAAATATCTACTAGAGAACGCACGTAGGCTGTTCTATTCTAAAAAAAAAAAAAAAAGACAACGCTTAGTCGGCGGTCTTAGGACTGCTAGCTGACTGCCCTGCACTGATGAGAGTCGAAGAGCTCGAAACCGGTCTGTAGGTGTCTAGCGTGGCCTGGCTAAATCGAAATCAATAGGCAATCAGGAAAGAATCACTTGTATCAGTATTCGTTTATACGAGTCGATGTATAGATTTCGGGAGGATGTAATTCAATGTTCTGCGTGGCATTAGCCAAGAAAGTCTTGTTTTTCCCCCAAAATCTACCATTGTTCTTAATTTTTTGAAGATTGTGTAGAAATGTCTTTGAAATTTTTGTATTAATTCAATATATATACAGGGTGTCCCTAGACCAGTGGGACAGTTGAATATCTCCTGAACCAATAGGAATTTTCAAAATATTATAATTTCACATCATATCGCATTATGAGTGCTAACTTCAGGAATTACTATATTTTCTACGGGGGGCGCAAGAAAGGCTCACAAAATCGAACATCAATTTCTTCAAATAGAACACCCTGTATTTCATTGCATTTTCATATTCTCCTTGAAGAGCTGAATTCAACGACCTAGCACACTTGGGGTCTAGCGGGAATGATTTCCGGGATATAGGGTGTGGAAAATCGAGATTTTTCATTTTTGGGAATTTTTTGTGTCAAAACTATTCATTATTGGTCAAAACGGCTCACATGTCCATGTCTCAACTTTTGATTTACTATTCACTCGTATTTAATTGAAACAAATACAGGGTGGTGTAGACTAGTCAGAATTCTACACCACCCTGTATTTGTTTCAATTAAATACGAGTAAACAGTAAATCAAAAGTTAAGATATGGACACGTAAGCCGTTTTGACCAATAATGAAAAGTTTTGACACAAAAAATTCCCAAAAATGAATAATCTCGATTTTCCACACCCTATATCCCGGAAATCATTCCCGCTAGACCCCAAGTGTGCTAGGTCGTTGAATTCAGCTCTTCAAGGAGAATATGAAAATGCAATGAAATACAGGGTGTTCTATTTGAAGAAATTGATGTTCGATTTTGTGAGCCTTTCTTGCGCCCCCCGTAGAAAATATAGTAATTCCTGAAGTTAGCCCTCATAATGCGATATGATGTGGAATCATAATATTTTGAAAATTCCTATTGGTTCAGAAGATATTTAACTGTCCCACTGGTCTAGGGACACCCTGTATATATATATATATATATAATAATTAATATATTGATTCAATATTTCATTCATATTGTATATGGAGGACCCCACTGAAGGAATATAATGTCGACTTGATTTTTGTTTGGCTAGGCTACGCTTAGTCGGCGGTCTTAGGACTGCTGGCTGGAGACTGCCCTGCACTGATGAGAGTTAAAGAGATCGAAACCGGTCTGTAGGTGTCTAGCGTGGCCTGGCTAAATCGCGAACAATAGGCATTCAGGAAAGAATCACTTGTATCAGTATATTTATGCAACATTTCATTCCGCTTCGAGCATTGTAGCTATTTCGTAGTTGCAACGCATTTGAGTGCTTCGTAGTCAGAATCCTGAATGCAGTTCCATGTGGTCTTTCAAGATATCCTTAGAAAGGAAGTGTTTCAGGCAATCACCACATGAGAACGGTGTTTCTCTAATGTGCAATCTAGTGTGTTCATCCAATTGGCTCTTGTTTATATAAGTTTTCTGACACATGAAACATCCGAACGGCTATCGCCTCCATAGAATTCGATATGTTTATTCAATTCACCTAAGAACAAGAATATTTTCTGGCAAGTTTCACATAATAAAGATTGCTTCAGCCAACAAAATTTCCATCTCATATCGAAATATGAGTATTTACCAGACTTATATTGTAAATATCCACAAGATGACGCACGAAATATTCTTTGAAGATCAGTTTACTAACGCCCTAAAAACTCTTTGAGTTCTTTGCAGTCATGATCTTAAGATTTGGTGAAACTCTTGTCAAGCTGCGCTTCTAATCTGATGTCATAATCATAATCAATTTCAGATTCAACTTCCTGTTTTATGATAGATTCCTCATGATCCAACTCTTCTATTTCCTTTTTTATGTTGAACTCATCAGGGACCGTCCATTCACAAGAATCCCCATCAAGACTATCAACTAGTTTTTGTCCCTCAGTTTGACATGTGCTGATGTGTAAATTCAAATCATTCTTTGAAAGGAATTCTTTCTGACATTCAAATGATTCTTCATCCGATTTCATGAGAGGATGTCTTCCCTCTTCAGTATTCTCATTCTGACAAATGTAATTTCCAGATGATTCAACCGTGGAATGGAATGTTTTGATATGTCGGTTCAGAGTGGTCTTAGAAGCGAATCTATTGGGGCAAACTGGGCACTTGAATTTAACTTCAGCTGCCTCGTGTTTATTTACTTCACTTTTCCTCGTTGATTGTCCAAAGTGAACCGTTTTGATGTGCAGGGATATTTTATCATTGGAAGGAAATGTCTTCTCACAAAACTGGCATTTGAATGGTTTTTCTCCTGTATGTTTCCTAATATGTATTATTAGACGACTCTTCAATGAGAACTTCTTCTGGCAAAAAGTACATTGAACAGAGTCTTCTGTGTGTAACTTGAAATGGCTATTTAAATATCTTTTGCGAGTATACTTTTTATGGCAAATTGAACAGTCGAATGGACCACGTTCTGAGTGTAATTTCATGTGGTCAGTCAAGCTGTCCTTAGAACGAAAAAATTTCAGACAATTGGCACACTGAAGAGAATGGTCTAACTTATGCAATAACGTGTGTTTCTTCATTGCACTGCTGGTCATGAATTCTTTCAGGCAAATATCACATGAATACGGTCTTTCTCCAGTGTGCGATCTACCGTGCTCTTTCAATTGAGCCTTGTACTTGTATGTTTTCAGGCACATGGAACACTCAAATGGTCTGTCGCTTTTATGGGATCGGAAGTGTTTATTCAGTTCGCCTAAATGCGAGAATATTTTCTGGCAAATTCTACATTGGAAGGATTGTTTTTTGTCGTGCACTCTTTTGTGTTGAGTCAACCCAGACGTGGTAGTGGTTTTTCTCTGACAAATATCACATGTCAGGTCATCAGTTGAATCCATTTTTCAGTGGTGGAATCATGAATAATAGATGTAACTAATTGTTTCTAGTTTGGTGATTGAATTACACTTTTTGAGTAGTTGATTCTCCATGTGAAGGCTTCAAAGTGTTGTGATAGGATGAGGGGAAACCTGCAGAAAAAAAATAATATTGAGGGAAATACTAGTAGATTTATTAGGATCAGAAGTGACACTTTATTTGACAAGCCATGTGTATGCAATGCAACAAATATTACGTGTGGTGAAAATCTTCTACCTGCATAAATAGATCAGGTTTATTCAATTTTCAAGGATGTTCGAATTTCCGTTTCAATATAAATACAACCATAGAGTGACCGATTCGTGAATGGACCAGGTGTCAGCCCAAATAGCAAATACCGCGCCAGTGCCAGTTAGTGAGCATATCAACAATATTAATAGCGTTTATTTATTTCTCACCATACTCCACTGTGTTTGGCTGGGTAATCAAATAAAGGTGAAAAATATAGTTGGCTGTGACACAAAAGTATAGTAAGTAAAAGTAAAGTTATATCCATCCTGAGAATATAACGAATGAAATACAGATCAAGCAAGTATGTGAATCTTGAAGGCTTTCCTCGTCAGAACAAAAATACTCAACTATAATATGGGCTATTTATATCTCCAGCATGGGTATGAAATGCCAAATCTGCTGGAATCGGAAACAAATCAGGTGTGCGTCCCAACCCAAATAGCCAACCGTATAACAATGTTGTTTATTCTTGATGACCTAGTACATCCTTTTCAGTACCTAGGAGCTTAAGTTCAACTCCAGCTCCTAGGAACCAAATGTGTTGCCTAGCAACATACCTATGTTTGTGTCAGTAATGAAAACGTCAATTCAAGAGCTGATTTTGTTATTGAAATGGACGACTTTTGTGTCGGTTGCAAAAAAAACAACATTTTCCATCTCCAAATCGTTTTAGTGATTTCTACAACAAGTATTGGTATATGCATTTCTATACGGGTGGTAGACTATAAAGGGTCACTCACGACGAGCTGAGTCAATATGTATATGCCAAACTACTAAGACTCATATGTGTTTTCCGAAGTGCTATCGTTTCAACTAACATATTTTCAGTTTTCTACAACTGTCGATGATATCGGAAAAAGATCTCAACTTCGCTATTTTAAATGGAATTTTTCATTTTTTATTGAATTTTCGGAGTCTACGCAAAATCCCATTGTAACTTCATTCAGAATATCATATGCATGTCTATAGAGTAGGTACGCCATATTTGAGTTATTCAAGATATTTTTTACATTCAGGCAGAACCTTACAAACAATCGAAACGAGTCACACCCAATATCTCCAGAATCTGTCTATAGCAGAATTCAAAAGTTTTTGCCGAATTCATAATATCACAATACCCTATTGGCCCCAACAGAACAATAAGGAAGTAAAGCGCCAAGACAGGGACATACTGAAAAGGCTGAAAATAACTCAGATGAACAAGAAAAACTGGAAGGCTGATCTACTGGAGTTCAGCTATCACTCCCTCAGGTGTAATAGAAGAAGAAATAAGCGACAGAGATTTATGGGAAAAAGAAAGAGGGAAGATATATGCAGATAGGAGAAGGAGAGCCCAACTAAGTGGACTTGAATGCGGGGAGAAAGTATTCGTGAAAAACATCAAGAAAAAAAATAAACTCACTCCTACGTTTGACCCGACCACTCACACTATTACTAATAAGCAGGGCGCAGATATCGAGTTGAAAAATAACGAGACCGGCCAAAATAAGATCAAAACTTGTTGAATGTCCTGACGGATCCCGTTCATTTTGGTCCTTCGCCAAAGCTGTAGGAAGAAACTTCACTTCCAGCTCGTTTCCTCCTCTAACAAAGGAAGATGGAACACTAGCCACTACTGCCCAGGAGAAATCCAACATTTTTGCGCATTTATTTGCTGGAAATTCCACTCTGGATTTATCAGGTAAACGACCTCCAAACATAACGCCAATTGACAGTCATATGCCCGAGATCACCTTTCGCCAACGTACTATAAGGAAGATTTCATTGGGTCTCAACACCAACAAAGCTTGTGGCTCCGACGGAACCCCACCGATTGTTCTCAAGAAATGTGCTCCCGAACTAACACCTGATCTCTGCAAGTTGTTCAACTACTCTTACAAATTGGGGACATTTCCGTCCAACTGGAAAATTGCAAGAGTACATCCAGTTCCTAAAAAAGGTAAGAAGACCCTACCTAGCAACTACAGACCTATCACACTGCTATCTATTATTTCAAAGATCATGGAGAAAGCTATCAACATCGAGCTCATGAAATACTTGGAACATTCAGGTATTATCAACGATGGGCATATGGCTTCTGTCATCAGAGATCAACTGGTGATCTGCTCGCTTACTTCTCACACATATGGCAGCAATATATTGAGAATGGTGAAACCTTAGCCGATATCTCCAAAGCATTCGATCGAGTCTGGCACCACGGACTCCTCGCCAAGCTTCCATCATATGGCTTGCCTCCCCAGCTATATGTTCTCCGCTAGCTAGTTTTCTCACAGGTCTCTCCATGTAGTGGTCGACGGAGTTTCATCTGACTCTCTTACCATAAATGCTGGTATTCCGCAAGGATCAATTCTAGCACCAACACTATTTCTACTCCATATGAACGATTTGTTGAAAGCAACTTCATGTCCAGCATGATAGTACCCTCCATACCGCCTTCTCTTGAAGGGCTCCAATACCAGCCAGGCAAATCAGAAACGAACGAGGGAGAAATAATTTTGACAACATAAACAAAAACAATTCTCGAATGGGGATCCAATCTTGGTAGATTTCAATGCAAACAAAACACAAGCATGCCTTTTCTCTAGAAAAGCCGATCTCACTGTGCCAAGAGGCTCTGGAACACATTGCCAAGGGAGGTGTTCCCCGAGGCATATAACCTCCAGAAATTCAAGAACACCAATTCTTACCTTATTTTCATTGGTTCTCACGATGTTCTCTGACATTACAGGATATCCCTTTTCGTGGGAACCAGAACGTAAAAAAGAAAACTTGTAGAAAAAATTTTGTTCACCTGAAGAAAATCGCGGGGGCATGGAGTCACTAAACCCTTCTCCTCCAACTCCTCCCCCTACTCCTGAGAGTAACATAATATTTGCAACTATATTACAAACACATGTTTATTCCCTTTGTTTTCGTATAAACCGAGGAATGTTTTAGGAAGTTAATAGCAAATGCCAAGATATAGGTAGGGAGTGATTCCATTCATTTTGTGATCCTACCATACGATACATCAGGGTGATCAAATATCAATGACTAATTACCCTTTATTACACGTGGAATCAATTTAGAAGCCGGTGAAATAGTAATAGTATTGAATATTAGTCATCAAAATTTGAACAACCGGTATAAGGGAGGTGACGAGAAAGGTTTTTTGGTCAAGGGAAATGTTTAAATTTGGTACCTCTCAAAATGAAATCCCTCCCTTAACCCTTTCGTTTTCGGAGATATGGGAATATAAAAAATGAAAAAGTTGTGTGAAACGACCCAAACTTCAAAACAAAGGATATCAACTTTGATTTCTTCGATAAAACACCGTATATAATTTACGACATGTCGATAGGGCCTTTTTTAATGATTTCGAAAATATACCGGGTGGCTACGGAAGTATTGCCTACGGAATATCTCAGTTATTGTATGAAGTAGGTTTGTGAAATTTGGAGCGTCGATATAATGACATGAGAGCTAGAATTTGAGCATATTGACATGTCGAAGTTAACTTCCGGTCTGACCGGAAGTAACATCAACTTTCTTATTCCAAATGGAAACCCTTTTTTTTTTTTTCTCGCTTTATTCAGCATTCAATTCCCTTTCTAATGACATATCACAAGTTGATATCTAACCAGAAACTAGATAAAAAAAAAATTATTATTGAAATTCACCGAGTAGGCCGTGGAAGCAAAATGAAAGCCAAAAATTGAAAAGTTGGCTATTAAAACCATATCGTTAGAAAGGAATGATTATGCTGAATAGTACAGGCAAGAAAAAGTTGTATGTTCCTATTTAAGGTATAGACCTACAGAGTATTGTTTTTTCCCAATTTTTCCAATATTTTTTTGACGGCTTTTTATAACGCCGACGAATGAAAATAAAATATCACAGTAGTAGCAACTGTTATCAAGTGACGTATGGTTTCCATAGCCAACTTTTCAATTTTTGGCTTTCATTTTGCTTCCACGGCCTACTCGATGAATTTCAATAATAATTTTTTTCTGATCTAGTTTCTGGTTAGATACCAACTTGTGATATGTCATTAGAAAGGGAATTGAATGCTGAATGAAGCGAAAAGAAAAAAAATAGGGTTTCCATTTAAAATAAGAAAGTTGATGTTACTTCCGGTCAGACCGGAAGTTAACTTCGACATGTCAATATGCTCTAATTTTAGCTCTTATGTCATTATATCGACGCTCCAAATTTCAAAAACCTACTTCATACAATAACTGAGATATTCCGTGAGCAATACTTCCGTAGCCACATGGTATATGAGTTGCATATTTGGATGAAAAATGGTTAAGTTTTTGATGCCCCAAATGTACCAAAATACCGCATTATGAACCTTTACTTCATATCATCTAATGTGAGTTGAATATAGTGGACTTTGAAATAACGTTTAAAGCTCCATGGAGATGTCATGGCATTATTCATTACAGGTTTGTTCTCGTTCGAAATATAGACAGTCCGAAACCATCACAAACATGCGCAGTTCCACGGAACATGAAATATGCCAACAGTTCTGTGGAACTGCGCATGTTCCTGATGGTTTCGGACTGTTTATTTTTCGAACGAGAACAAACTTTTAGATATTGAAATCGTTCAATGTCAATTCAAAAAAATATGAAAGGACAGTTTAAATGGAAGATTCGGTATTTTGGTAAACTTTGATAATTAATAACTCTTTTCATCCAAATATGCAACTCATATATATTTATGAAACCAAATAGAAAATATATAGGGTGCCCATTAAAAAAAACAGAGTTTTTTCCGGAAAAACAAATCACCCTGTATATGAAGGAAATTCACGAAATAAAAGTTTGGGTCGTTTCAAACAACTTTTTAATTCAACATTTTTCCACATATTTGAAAACAAAAGAGTTAAGGGGGGGGGGTCCTTTTAAGAGGCGCACCCTCGGTACCTATACGACGTATACCCGAGGGGGAAACAACTCTTTAAATAGATGTACACTATGGAATTTTAAGTACTTTAAGTATCATTTTTAATACATAAAGTACATATTTAATAAGCTTCTAAGTCTCGTTTAAAGTGCTTTGAAGTACCTGTTAATCAAGTATTTCAAGTACTTTTTATTTGCCAGATTTTTAAATATGGTGTACACCCTTTGGGTAGTTTTTCCCCCCTCGCGTATACCTCGGTACCTATACGTACCAGTGGCGGCTCCTCAGAGGAGGCAACGGAAGCTGAGCCTCCTCAGAGATTCTCCTTAAACTGATATTATCTATACTTTCTCAATAAAAGGGCACCAACATACATGGATTTTGATTTTATTTCCTGTTTTCAGGTAAATATTTTTGAATTGGCAACAGTACTTGCCCACGCATCACACGTTGAAGTCTGCAAATCACGCGTAAAATATTCGACTTGGCAACATCTATAGGAGGCTAGACTCCTTCACAAATCGAAACCCACGCGCGCAATACAAATGCCCGAATATGCCCGAATAGCACGTGTTTGTGTTTGTCGTGTCGCGTCGCGAATTGCGGACAATCCAGCGCGAGTGCATTGTTAAAGTTTAGGTTAGGTTAATGGTTAGGGGCTCCATAAATTTCTGAAAAATGAGTGTTTCAAACGACTGCGATTTAGTGGAATACTTTTTGGTGAACCCATTCAGTGCTTTGTCTTATGAAGATACATTGATTGTGAAAAACAAACGTCCGACACCGGAATTAAAAAATCTGATTGTAACAGGTAACATACAAAATCGTTCGTCCAATTCTGATAATAATTATGAAAAATATATCTGGTTGACGGGATCTGAGGTAAGGAATAAGCTATTTTGTTGGTACTGCGTATTATTTTCAACCGATAAGTCATCGGCCTCGCGGATTGGATAGACACTGCAAATCACAGGAACACATCTCTTCAAGTATTAAGTTCAGGTTAACTGGTGAACATAATGTCATTAGAGCTATCGATTTGGGTGAGTCGTTGAGAGTTGTTTTTCACAATCAATCTCATATCATTCAGCCTCCTCTGTCATGAAAGTCACGAGCCGCCACTGATACGTACCTACCTCGGTACCTACATAAATACACCTATAAATTCACCTAATTATTCTCAACAGGATCCCCTTGGGTATCCTCCATCTATGCAGAGTGTTTCCGAAATCAAAGGGATAAATAAAATGTGGTCTTGGTCTAGTTGGTCTGATCTGGTCTGGTATGAGACATAAATCCAGAAATTGTTTTTGTTTCACCCCTGACCCTAGGAACCAGACCTTTTAACTGTTATTCAAAGTCCGGTGGACATTGCAAAATATGTCATTGGTATTAGTACTTCCGGTGCTTTTGAACTCACAAACGCTTGAGTGAGATGTTTATACGCATCTTACGCTTGAGTTATTACCAATGATGCATGATTCACAAAAGTTCAATTCATATGTTGTTGAACATTGTCATTTTCTATAGATGCATTCTTTCATTTTGTTACAATTTTTTTTATATTTCATCACCCATATATTATTTCATTTATCGTCAAAATTTCGGATAATCCGTGTATACGATCCAGGTAGTAGAAAAAAAATAAAGCAGCTTGTACCAAGAAAGCTCTTCAAAGTTGTGATTGTGGAAATAATAAAACATACCTACTTTCTACTCAAGTCAATGTATACAAGGTGTTTTTGAAATAAGTGCACATATTCAGCACATTTTGATATGATACAGTCTAAGGAATATTCCCATGATATTAGAATTTTTCTAATTCTAATTAACTAGAAATTCCATCCCAAAAATAAAACAAAATACGAGAAAAAGATCTAGTTAGTCACTTCAAAACAATCGAGAAAACAATTTAAATGATTGAAAACTCCGCGTGATTGTGCCTACCGAACAGAGGTGACGTCAGATTTTCTACAGTGTAGAACTTTGGGTGGGAAAGAGGGCCTTACCTCAAATTTTATTTTGATCCCTAATTTTGTTTTATTGGTGCCCTTCGATAGTACACGTCGAGCTTTCTCAGTGTTAGAATATTTGCACTTATTTCAATGACACCCTGTATATAATTTTTCTCTTATTTTAACCATGGTAGATTTTCACCAATTTTCTGTGAAAAAATCAAGGGAAATAGTGACAGGGAGGGTACATTTATCATTGAAATATCGATACCAACAGTTTTGTTTGAAATAGAACAGGAGAAAGTGTGTTGGGATTGGAAATGTCTCCGTAAATCTCCATATAATTAAAGCAGAAATAATAGGAAAAAAACATTGATAACTTACTTTGAAAAATACCAGAAGATTCTTGAATAAGTACAATAAAATTTAGGCACTGTCTACACGACCGCTGCGGCGGTTGGATACTGAAACATAAACAACCGCCCCGGCGGTTACCTATTTTTATATAGAAGACCGCCGTGAATTCCGCCGCGGCGGTCAATGAGACTAGAGTCTCGAGATCATACCCGTGTGTTCACCGAACACGCCCGATCGTTACCTAGCGGTGGGGAGACGTAAACAGGCAGCAGTAACTACGTTATGAATATTGGCGCGATCCAGAATTATTTTGGAGTCAAATTTGTTAATTTAATGTACTTCGAAACGGAACCCTAGTAGTTGTGCCTTCTTGTTTTACATATATTATAGGTAGACATCAAATTAATAAACATAGTGCTCTCGTCATCGGTATTTGCTGAACTTCTCTATGGGAAAAATGTTGAATAACTAGGTATATTGGGATGAAGAATGATCTATACAGGGTGTATCTAAATAACACCGAAATAATTCAAGGGGTGATTCCTTTTAGCATATAATATGATGAATAAAGGTCATATAAACATGTGTCCTAAACTTGCTTCGTTTTCGAGGTACAGGGTTATATACGTCCTGATTTCGAATCCGAAGTGATTTTCAACCTATCTTGCCTCCTAATATCATTTTCCGGAAATGTTGGTTGGTCCATGACCCGAGCAGTGTATTTCACTGAAGATTACCTCACTTTGCTCATAGTTGGTATATATATCTATCGCTGCTGAAAATTGAACAGTTACGTTAGATATATATACGGGATGATTCCATTTAGAAGTGACATGCACACTGTTTATATTTTTAAATACATCCAGTGGGATTGAATTTTATTTCATGTTGAATATTAGTTTTTATGTGATATATTTGTTTTGTTTAGTTCGAATATATATATTTTTTTAATAGGCATACTAGTACTTCTTTTATATAATTCTGAAATCTCTGATCCACCCTGTATTTGTTTCAATGAAATGGCATCAGTAGATAGTAAATAGAATGTTAGGATAGGGACACTTGTAAGCCATTTTGACAAAAATCAATATAGGTATTGTGTATTGTATAGTTTCGATACAAAAAAAATCTCGATTTTTCACATTCTACGTATAGGAATGCCTTGAGCTTGATCAACGAAATCATAGCTCAATTGGAAGAATTGAGAAATGTAATAAAATATAAGGTGTTCCATTTTGAATAACAAATAAGCTGCTACTACTACTATACTAACTAGTAATAATAATTTCTAGTGAAGCAGATGAACATTATCGAAACTAATTTGAATAAAGCGAGCGTCCTCTCCAACAAAACATAAGCATATAATATGTTCATATAGTTTCATGATTTTCGATGAGTGGTTCGCTATTTACATGTAGGACTCGTCGTGACATTGCAAATCAAATCATCGCTTTCATTATCTGATAGGTCGCAGTAGATCACTTATTGATGCCTATCAAATGTTTCTTATTTATTCGAAAAAAAAATGTTGAAATGTGATCAAGAAAACTGTTGGTGGCCCACCCCGTACTGCAAAAACAGAGACGAAGCTGCCTGCCCACTCATTGTATCATAGCTGCCTGCTTACGTCTCGGTCTCCCCACCGCTTGGGTAACGATCGGGCGTGTTCGGTGAACACACGGGTATGATCTCGAGACTCTAGTGTCAATGAGTTTATATTAGCTGTGTTCCGTTTCACGCAGTATGTGCATAATGCACAAATAACTGTTCCGTTTCCCACATTTTACTGCATCGAAAGTGCATGAACCCGCCCCTTTTCTGTACTCCCCTCTTCGACCTTGAGACATTATGAATGCAGATACTACTGCTCGATTTCGACCAGCTTTGTATGCGCTAATGCGATTTTGACACTTCGTGACAACCGGTGGAAACTTGAGATCAAAAAACTGATAATAATATGGAAGAAAAATTTGAATTTCCTGTTTATTTAGAACAGACGGGTGAAATGAGAGTGTTACTGTTAACATCCGATGAAAAACAAAGAGCCCTAGATGGTGAGTAGAAACGAAATTATCAAATATATGAAATCTAATGGGATTCTAACTGCATTATTTCATTTGCTATCCGCCTCTTAAAGTAACTTATGAATTGATTCCCATGTATCAAGATTTGGGTAGAAGCAGGGAGTTACAATGTTACTCCTGTTGACCCCAGGCCTATTCTCGAGCTTATTAGGTAGGTATATAGGAATGTTTATTTTTTAATTGTATATGAATTGACTTCCAATGATTCGAAAATAGACCCCACAGGGTCAATTCTGGAGTAAGTCTGTAAAGATTAGAAGCATTTATTTTCAGATGAATCATATTTATGGAAATTGATAAGAAACCAAACCGAAGATGTGAATGAGGATGATAATGATACTAATGATAGTATCATGATTGTTGAAGGTGAAGAACAGGATGGAAATAATGATGGCAAAGCAGAAAAAAACGGTAAGATGAATTAGCCTAGTTCATTTAATATTTGTTGTTTTCTTGATAGGATTCATGCATATGATAGTTTGATCACAGTATATCATCCTCTACTAGGGGATAATATACTGTGGTTTGATCATTAATGATCATTAATTTCAGAGTGGTCAGAAGAAGCTGTCCTTCTATTTTTGGACATATATAGAAAAAATGAGGCAAATTTCAAGAAGTCTAAGAGACACAATAAAATTTGGCAAGAAATTGCAAATGAAATTAATGTTCATAATGAATCATATCATTATTCAGGGTTACAATGTTCTACCAAAATGTCAGGTTTGAAAAGGACATTCAAGAATATAAAAGATCAGAATAAGAAATCTGGGAATCATAGGTCAACTTGGGCCTTTTACTCCGTAAGTATACTTACTCAAATCATTCATTCCACATATACTATAATAAGTGCTTGGAAATACATTTTCTTCTTTATTGTGTATTTAAGATTATGGACTCATTATTTGGAGCAAAAGCATTCATGGAGCCACAAGCTATTGCAAGTAGCGCAGGTCCCTCAAAGCCATCTTCAGCATGTGAAGTTTCCTCATGCCCTGATAGTGCTGCTGATGCCTGTGCTTCTAGTGGTATGTATTCATAATTCATCAAAATTAGCAGTGAAATTATTAAAAAAATAATGATTTGGTCAGTTTTTAACTGAAGATTTCCATATAGTACAAAACTTTTTTCATGATAATTCCACTTGAAAACGAAATTTGGCAAGTCAATGCTGGCACATCTTATGATTTCAGTCATATATTTCAAATGTACTTTGATGCTGAAATGAATAAGTGACTTCTTATGTTCAAACCAAAGAATGGATGAGTTCTGTTTCTAAAAGTTGGATTTAAAAAGTGTATAGTAGCTGTTTTTACATCAGTCATAAATTCATGGAAGTGTTTTTCATACAGGTGGTGTAGGAATTAAAAAAAGAAAAGTGGAGCTTGTTTTGGAAAGTTTCATTGAACATGTCAAAACTGAAAGTGAAACTAGAACACGTAAAATGGAAGAATATCAAAAAAAGAGAGATGAGGAGAGAAGACAAAGGGAAAAAGAGAAAAATGAGTTGAAAGAAAGGATGCACAAAGAAAACCTGCATTTCAAGAATGCATTGTTATCTGTTTTACAAAAACAAATACAGAAATAATTCAATTTTCATATGCTCAAGTTGTATTTTCCTAATTAGAACAATGAAGTTATATTTTAAGTTTCTATGTTACCATTCCATGACATAATTTTAGTTTTTTAAAATGTTGGTGATTAAAACAATGTTCTGATCTTGTCGTTTTTATACAGTGTGTTCACATGAGGTCCACAATTATAAATTTTTCTACCAGAAAGATCAACAAAGAAACAAACAATTAGTAAAATATTTTTATTTCTACAAAATAGAGAATTTTGGATTTTACTACTTTGAAATTCATCAAAGAAATGAATTGATTTTTTTTAATGATTGTGAACCTGAACACTAAATCAAGTGTTTTCATGCTGAGGTGATAAATTGTGTGAAATTTGAACATTGCCTAAAAATTTTATTGACAATCTTGAGAACGGTCAAGCAAATTAAAAAAAATCAGTTCCTCATTCTTAGTTCATTCATAATACTATTCCTCTTTCCATGTCCTACATTATTCACTAGATGATGTGGGTGCACTACATCCTGCTCTTGTTCTCCAGGCACAAATACATACTCAATTAAATCATTCTTTAAAATACAGACATTATGCAAAACACAACAAGCAATTATGAACTCAGGAATCTTCCTTATGTCCCAGAGTGGCAAACAGTCTAATAAAATTCTGAACCTCCCTTTCAAAAGTGCAAAGGCATGTTCTATTGTCACTCTTGTTGCAGATAAGCAGTAATTAAAATTTTTCTGCCTTTGTGATAAATGTCCATTATTTCGGAAGGGTACCATGCAGTGTGTATGCAGGGAATATGCTGCATCTCCTAAAAGGTGAGAATTATTTGGAAAATAGTTCTGTGGCTGATTCATGAAATCTGCTACAGGAGAGTTTCTGAATACCCGTGCATCATGAACAGCTCCAGGATATCCAACAAAACAGTGAGTGAACAAACGCCTGGAGTCACATACTGCTTGTAAATTGATTGAATAGAATCCTTTTCTGTTAATGTATGAGATAGGATCAACTTTTGGTTTACGTATTTTTATGTGACATCCATCTATAGCTCCAATGACGTTTGGGAATCCTGCTTTCTGTTCAAATACCTCCATAACAGAGTTCACTTGGTTCCCGGGCCACTTGATGATTTTTGGGGCAATGCAATGTAGAGCATAAGTCACTCGTCTCAGAACTCTAAATGCTGTTGCCTTTCCTATTCCAAATTTGACACAAATTGACCTGTGTAAAATACAACACAGAATTACTTGTTGCTACATAGCACTAATATAATGCATTACCTATATGAATCTGGTGTAGCCATAAACCATAATGCCACAAACAACTGCTTCTTTGGTTCAATAGGTTGTCTTCCTCCAGGAAAGACAGTGTTTGCATTGAGGGATGGTCCAACTAATCTTAAAACATCCTCAAACGTTTCTGGAAACATTCTGTAGGGTTCAAAAATATATATAAACTATGGCTCCTTTGAAGATTTGATGATTTACCTAAAATGTTGCTTAAAAACTTGTTCATTGTACCCTGGAATTATTCGTTCCACATAGCACATGGTTTCTGTTTTGGGTTGCTCTCCTCTTGTTTCAGCAATCATTAAAACGGCGGAAATACACTCTTGTTCCTCTATATTCAAAATCATATCCAAGAGCATATTATCATCCTCTGCAGAACTATTGCTTGAGGATGATTGAGAATCAGTACTATCGTCTTCCCAAAATTCACTAGCGATTGTGAACAATAGCGAATTTCTATTAACAGTATTCATTTCATATGAATTGATGACAAATTTCTAGCGGTTAATAATGATTATTGCGTACATAAATAAAATTGAGCCGCTTCTTTCTTTCCGTCAACTGAAAAGCACAAATGCACATTAATTTTAAAATTTTTCAAATAGTCAACACCTGTCAATAGTGTCAATACACTGTCACTGCATAGTAGAAATCGTTCCGTTTCCAATTTGATACACGATACAAAAAATGACCGGTGAGGAAACGGACCGCTTATTTTTCAGTGCAGTAGCGATGCGATTAATGCAAGAAACGGAACACACCTATTGAGTTCATTGGCGGCGGTCGGATACTGATACATAAACAACCGCCGGCGGTTACCTATTTTCATATAGAAGACCGCCGTGGAAAATGAGGAAGGATAATATCGTTTCTGCATGAAAAAGGAGACTACTTTTTTCAAACAAACTAACCTAACTCGCCTAAATAAACCTTTCTGCTGAAAAGTATATTTTTTGGAAAATTATATGTGAGAAAAAGTTTTAAAAAAGTTAGGCCTCGCAGGGGTTGAACCCAAGTCACCACCGTGGTGGTCATATCAAAGTTATTTATTTTGTTTGTTCTTTTTGCATAGAACACATATATTTTATGAAGTCCGTATGTCATGGGCCAGTTTTTCATCAATTTTTTGAATGAGAATTTGTATTCAGAATCTACTGCACCGTGTATTACAGAAACAGAGAGTCTGACTGCAAAAATGGCTGAAAAATAGGGCATGTCCTTTCTGCAGATGTCCTGGATAGCAAGGGGTACATCTTTTTTATTGCTGCCTGTGTCTTTTGGATAAGATAGTTGGTGTTAGGCCTGAGAGTCATACGAGCGTAAAGTTTAACCCCCATGTATTTCACAGGGGTCGTTTCTGTCACCTCAACCCCTTTGACGGTCAAGGGTCTGTGTAGCTTGGAGTCATTTCTTTTTTGGAGAAGTTGATGACTTCAGTCTTCTCACTATTTACACAGATCTTTGACTCGTCAAAGTACGGCACCATTCCCCTGTCTATATGGATTTGGATTTGCTGTCTGGCAATATCCGAGACGGACGAGTGAGCATAAATCGCCGTGTCGTCGGCGTACAGTGCCGTGCTCGTCCGCTCGAATACAGGAACATCGTGTGTGACCTGCTTTACACGTGGTAGCTTTGTGTCCCAGCAATTTTGGGACACCCTTTATATGGCGCATCACCTATACGATATCTGAACAAGAATGGGACGAAAATGAGAGGTACTTTCTGAATCTATAAGAACGGAAAGTGAAGGATGGAAACTGCTGGGATGGGGATCAGATTTTGAGATAGGTTAGGTTCGTAAATAATCATTTGATGATTGAAGATTATTGAAAATCATCAATTGTTGATAATATCACAGTATAATACCGTCAACTTTGATTAATTCCTAGGTTTTATTAAGCAGAAAAACTTGGCATACACATGACATAAGTATTCTGCAACTAATGACTTTTGGACATAAAAAAGACAATACAAGATCACAACAACGAGTCGACGAAATACAGAGTGATTTCACCACATTTTCCCCCAGTATTATTTCGAAACATAGTCTTCTAAATATCTGGGCCTTCGACGAATTCTAGTAGCTCTGCCGTCACCTGAATTTCTCTCTTCAACAGGATTTTCAGTTTGAGTTGGATTCATCAGATTTGGTTCTTCTGGAATGATTGTTTGATCGTCTATCATATTGCTTCGAGTTGGTAAATCAGGTTCTATTTCTTCCGTTTGTCGTTGGACAGTTTGAGTTTCGCGAAATAATAATTGTTGATTTCCCCGAGGAGCCAAATGTTTTATGGATACGTTCGTTTCACGACCATTTGACAGTCGTACTAGGGCATACTCAGGGTTCGCATCGATAGTTTCCGCTTCCTCTACAAGTGGTTCATATTTATTTTTCCTCACATGTTTCCTGATTAAAACTGGCCCTGGTTCAGAAAGCCAACTAGGTAGTGCTGGTCCAAACGATGATTTTCTCGTATGATTAAACATTCTTTCGTGTGGAGTACAATTGATCGCAGTACAAAGTAATGAACGTATGGAATGTAGGGCTTCGTGTAATACTTTCTCCCATTGATCTATTCTAAGACCTTTTGTTTTCAATGCTAAAGATATAGTCTTCCAAATTATACCATTGTAGCGTTCTATTTGACCGTTACCTTCTGGGTTGTACGGAGTACTACGGCTTGTCGCAACTCCTCTGTCATAAAGAAATGATTTCAGTTCCTTGGACATGAAACAAGGTCCTTGGTCTGTATGTAAGTATGACGGCATACCAAAGATTGAAAATAATTGGCTCAAACAAGCTATAACTGTACTGGATGATGTATCAGCGCATGGAAACGCGAATGAAAACCTCGAGAATTCATCAATTATCGTTAAAAGATAAATATTTCGGGTACATGATGGTAAAGGGCCTTTAAAATCCATATTCAATCTCTCAAATGGTTGAGTGGCCTTGATAAGTTTACCATGCCTGTTTATGAATTTTGGTTTTATTTCAGCACAACTTGGACATGAACTTGTCATTTTACGAACATCATCGATTGAATACGGCATATTTTTTGATTTGATCCAATGATACATACGTTATTTCATCAATAACTCTTTGGAAACATGCTACTCCATTTGTGACTCCAAATGGAACTCTTGTGAATTGAAATAACTGACCATCAGCTTCAAAAGCAGTATATCGCCTGTCATCCATTTTGATCGGTAGTTGATGATATGCACTACGAAGATCAATTGTGCTGAATATTCGAAATTTGGAGACAGCAGCTACAACATCTTCTATGTTAGGTAAAGGGTAAGCATCCAGATAAGTATATCGATTTATTGTTTGTGAGTAATCTATAACCATTCTCTTTTTATGAGTATCAGTTTTAGAAACGAGAGCTTGTGCCCTCCATGGTGAACAGCTTTTTTCTATGATTCCTTCATCTAACAGCTTTCCTAATTCAGTAGAAATGAATTTGGCATCTTCTTCAGTTTGCTTTCTGGATTTGGTTGCTATGGGTTTGCAGTCTGGTGACAAATTATGAAAAAGAGAAACTGGTTCTATGTTTGCTGCTGCTAAACTACATATTGCTAAAGGTGTTCTCGAACCGCCAAAGTCGAGTTCAATCTTGGAGTGCTGTGATAATATGTCATGACCAATGATAACATCAGCACATAGCTCAGACAAAATCGAAATCTTGAAGTTTTCATATAAGTGTCCCAAAAGTTCAATATTCACGAAGCAGTGTCCTTTTATATTTGAATGAAGATTCGTAGATGCCATTGAGATTTGACCTTTGCTTGCATGTATATGTATATTTTGATCCTGAACAAAAGTCTCATTGATGTATGTTTCTGAACTCCCAGTATCGAGGAGAGCATCAGCAAGACAATTGTTAATTTTGATTTTCGTCAAGGATTTAGTGAGACATTTGGGTGCAGCAGCTAGGAGATTCGTGGGTTCGATCATAGAAGCAGCCGTATACTTAGAATTTACTAAGACAAACCTTCGGAAAGTGACCTTTTTTATTACAATTACGACAGGTTACTTCCCGTGCTGGGCATATGCTTCTGGGATGTCGTTTATTCCCACAAAAATAGCATTTACTTGCAGTTGCTGAAGTAACTGATTGGTCATCAGCTGTTCCACTTTCTTGTTTCTCTTCCTGAATTCCACAAACAAAGTTTGACGCCATTGTATAAGCTTCGGAGTGTTTTTGCGCGGATTCTAAGGATCGAGCTTGTGTTTCAGCCTCTCCAAGGGAAAGAGTGTTATTTTCTAAAAGCCGTTGTCGAATTTGTTGTGACTGTAATCCATTTATAAAAGCATCTCGAATGTATTCGTCTCTATTCTGGTTTGCGGTAGTTGCTTTGAAATTACAGGTTTTACTTAGTTGCTTCAAAATTTGTATATACGGGTCTATAGATTCAGTGTTCTGTTGTTTGCGGGCAGACAAGCAATGCCTGGCAAAGATTTCATTCTTCTGTTTTACGAATACTGATTTCAAAACTTGAACTGCATTATCGTATGTATCACATTGATTGATATATTCATATGTAGAATGACTCACATGTGCAATGAGAAGTTTCAGTTTATCATCAACTGTTACATCTTTCAAGGAAGCGATAAAGTTTTCAAACGTATTCATTATTCCAAATTTTTTGGGATTTTCTCTCCTCGTTTCTATAAAATAAAAATATGAATATTATTTTATAGAAACGAGGAGAGAAAATCCCAAAAAATTTGGAATAATGAATATACCACCTCCTCGATTAACCTACAGACAGTATTTTTTCAAACGTAGTTAGCCAATGTTCCCATTCTTGGTCAGCATGAGGCTTGTTAGGGTCAGCATCAAATCTTTCTGGTTTGAGGAATTTATCCATAATACTTCTGCTTAATAAATTGTAAAGATTACCTTCCAAAACTAGGTTTTATTAAGCAGAAAAACTTGGCATACACATGACATAAGTATTCTGCAACTAATGACTTTTGGACATAAAAAAGACAATACAAGATCACAACAACGAGTCGACGAAATACAGAGTGATTTCACCACAATGTGGTTAAAATATAGCAAAGAATAATGTCAGTAACTTTGAGGAACCGGAAAGAGCGATTGCAGATGATAATGAAATGAATTACGATATGATTTCATTCAGTTCGGTGGAATCTCGAAACTCACACCCTTCAATCAATTTTTCAATGTGGTGAAAGTGATCTCCTCAAATCTGTTTAGCGTGATGATAAGACAACACTAGACTACTTGTCATTTACTGATTCAAACTTGGTTTACTTCAAGGAAATTCTCATTATATTACGCTTGTTGCTGGATGATTGATAACTCCATTGATAATGTATGAGGAAAATGACGAGGAAGATGATTGGAGCCATAAGTTCCCTCGTTAAGGGTTTTTTGGGAGTCTTTAATATAATGTGAAAAGTAACCCTCGTGCAGGTCAATTAATAAACAAGAAAATTTGAAAATTCAAACTTACTTATAGAGGATTTCTTTCTCCGCAAATACTGCATTTCGTTAAAAAAGTTCAGAAATAAACGGAATTACAAACACTGAGGAATTGTACAAATAAACAAATATTTGAATTTCAATCACAATCGATCACATACGCGCTGAAACCAACTTAAAAATTTGAAATTCGTAGCCATATTGGTTTAACAGCTCGATATATTTGATGCGTCCTGTCCCTAAGCGCTAGTGATTTCGACTAGAGGTGGTACAGTAGTCACTCCCATTATACCAATTCAAGGTCACTCTGGTTACTGCCTTCGAAAAATGAGGTTATGAAGAATAGACGAAAATATAAAATATAATATTACAAGTATTGTAAATAGAATGGCTAAATATATAGCTCAAATTATTTTCGCTGGCACTCAAGTCGTTGCGAGAGCTTTCGCTAGAGCTGTGAAACAAGAAATTGAAGCTTCTCAGCAGGCAGCACAGAGGTTAGGAAATACCAAAACTAGAAGTGAAAGAGTGGCAAACCAGAAACTAGGATTGTCTCTTGAAGAAGCCAAACAAATACTGAACGTTAGTCAACTGTCTAAAGAGGAAATAGAAGAGAAATATCAAAGACTATTTAAAGCAAATGAGAAGACATCATTTTATCTTCAGTCAAAAGTTGTCAGAGCAAAGGAGAGGTTAGACCATGAGATAGTGAATACAACTAAAATTCAAGAGGATAAGTCACATCCTGAAACATCCAGAAGCAAAACATAACCCTTAGACCAATTAATAATTTTTAGTACTCTATAAGTTGTTTGTAAATGAAATGTACCATACCTAAATACTTCATAAGAAACACAACTTAGTGAAGAATTGTTATTTAATTGCTGCTATTATATATGAAATATCATGAGAAAACTTTTATTGCCTTATGATGGAAGATGCTTCTTGAACAACAGTTGACTTATGGGAGCCATCACAAAATGGGGGATTGTTCGTATGTTTGCAGTTGCACAGCCAGTATTCTTCTGTTTTGTTCACCATGAATTTGACAGGCCTAAAAGGAATATATTTGGATCATATCATTAATGAGGCAGACTAACAATTCATTCCTACTTTTGGGTTATTTTAAGTTGAACTATTCTATGTGTTCCATCACATAGTGGCTGACTTTTACTCCTACCACATGAGCACCAAGAGTACCTTTTGCCTGAAAAACAAATTTTGGGAATCAAAACTTGAATCTTGTGAACATTTCATTGCCAATTATATTAGCTCAAATGTCTCACCTGCTTCAACTGGAAGCTTGAATGGTTTTTTATCATAAACAACACCTCTACCTTTTTGTTTATTGGCAGATATAACATTATCTAATTGATTTTTGGGTACCTCTGTTGAACAACTTTGACTAGAACCCACCTGAAGGCATGATTTAAGACCACTCACTCTGAACAAATCTTTGGAAATAATCCTGGTGCAATTGATTGATACTCTGCCTACCATAATATGTAGACCCATTTTTAATCTTAAATATAAATAAAAATTTGAAAAAATGAAAAAATTCCAAGGTTTAAAGGTTATGATGTTATGATGGTTGTTACCAACCGGCGTTAATCGTCTATGTTCATGCTTCATGATTCCAACTGTCATGCTTAAATACGACCGAATGGATCACGCCAGTACCGGTGAAAATGTTCAGCTGATGGCTGCTGAACGCGCTCGCGCTCAGAGTGCTCACCATATATATCTACTATTTCTATATATGGCGCATCGCCTATACAATATCTCATCAAAAATGGGACCAAAATGAGAGGTACTTTCTGAATCTATAAGGACGAAAAGTGAAGGATGGAAACAGCCATATTGGTTTGATGAATTTCGTATTATCTTTTTCCTACGTCGGTATCGACGCCTTTTGGTCGATTTCGTTCATAGAGACAGAAGTTGGTCCCGCTTTGAGAACAAGGTCAAAAGTGACTTTTTATAAGCGCTGCTGTCAATAGTGTCACTACTGTCACTTGAAATTCGAAAAATAAACATGGGGGAAAAAGGCATATACGTGAAAAAGGCCAAAGGCGTTATTTCGATAACGCAATCGTCATTACTGTGTCAATAATGGGAAGTATAATCACCAGTTTCTCCATTTCTGCATGGACTATGATTTTAGTTGGTCAAGAAATAAATCTTCATGTGAGGTTATGAAACAAACTTCATAAGCGCGCTCAAAACATTCGGCCCAAATCAATAGCCGCGTCGAAGAGTGCAAACCAATTCGGACCAGAGCAGTAACTAACATCAAAGCATATTATCCTTTCACGTGAAAGGATAAAATACTGTGCTAACACCAGCGCGGTCAGAACAATGAGCTCAATTCGGACCGCGATAATGTAAAATATACGTTTCTGGCTACTACCATAGGCGTACGACAGCAGGGGCATGTCATTTCATCACAAGTTTTTGATTCTCCAATACTTTCTACCTAAATATTGTTCTCATTCGTCATAGCGGAGGAGTAATAATTTTTTGAGATATATCTTCAAGCCTACCCTACGGAGGTGGCGCCCTATTTGTTGACACGAGAGGTGGCGCCCTATTTGTTGACACGAGAGGTGGCGCCGGGTCTCACAAATTTCTAGAAAAAATAAAAATTTCAAATATCTCGGATAATAAATGAAGATTAGAGATGGTTCCCGTATATACATTTTATTATGCAACAGAACATATTACCAAAATAATCATCGAATTCGATGAAAAAATCTTAATTTGTGTAATATGCTAAAATCGATCAATTTCACTCCCACAAAAAAACTGAACATCTCAAAAATTTCACATACAGAAATCGATGAAAGTATAATGGAACTTCTTCATTCGCTGATTTTCAGTGAATTGACGCTAGCTGGGCACCAAGCTTTAGGTTGAGAAATAATTTTTTTTACACTTTCCACATTAGAATTTTCCAAATGGAACACCCTGTATTTTTCATCACAGATTAATTCGACATCATTAGCCTTTTCATCGCTGAAAAGAAATCAAAATCGGTTGCGCAGTTTTCAGGTTATGAGTAATTTCCTTATGTTTATCTCATCTCAGGGCTACTTAAAAGGCATGGTTCCTTTATTTGATTTGAGTGTGGGAATATTGCTTGCCACAGGACATTCGAGGTTCTACATAGATCATTAAGGTATGTTCGTGATATGTGCATTGTCCAAATTTGAAATATTCAGTAATTATGTTACTCATGATTTAAATAATATGTCAAAAATTTTAATGAACGTCGTCTGAATCTTACAATATTCAGAATGTAAATTCTAGCACCCTGTAAAGGATTATCTCGCAAAATTACTGGATTGGTGTACGTGAGACATTGCTACTACTGTACGCCAAAAATATTTTCAAAATTTTGATAAATGAATATACCATACCCAATTCAACATGACCATTCAATTGTAGTAAAAATGGGTTTATCAATTATAGCTTGATGGCAACGCCGCAACCAAATTGAATTTTTTTTACAGCGATGTAGAGCTAAACCTTAGCGAAGAATTACGCACTAAATGGACACACTGTATACTGTGTTTGTTACAATGGAACACGTATCTATTCAAAAGAATCATTGCGATCCCGTCATCACTTCCAAACAGATGACGTCACGAATAGAAAAATCTTTCGAAGATTGACGAAATAATGAATTTATTCCTTCCATTTTCCCATACTGTAGATGTTATCGTCTGACAATTTATCCTTCAAGAAATTGTCACATCAGACATATTATGCTAATGAAATAATTTCTACTTTGATAACATGACAAATCGAGGCATAGTACAAGTTTTCGATCAGTATCAGAAGGCTAGGTTAGCATTTGTCCAGGCAGTATCAGATTTAGCCCTCAGGCAACAGAATATAGAGCAGTTGAACGATGTTGGAGTCTTGGGTGAGTTTTATACGAAAAGCCTATTCATAAATTCTATTCAATGTCAGTTTGAGCGCCTCAAGCAAGGCACATCCTTCACGTGCACAGACATAACAAACTTCGAACGAACCGAAATTAATTAACACCGCTTTTACAATAGCCAACCTGAAAAGAAGAAGAAAATATAATAAGAAAATAAGTGTGCTAATAAATACACAAACATAGAAAAAGCTGATTACGGAGGTGCTTATATCTATTATGTTCTATTTATCAACACACTTTCATTATTTTATGTTCTATTTTTTTCAAGTTCTGCTATATTGAAGCGGGTTTTTCCAGTTTTTCAAACTATACTTCGTCTTCTGCTGCAGTTTTTGTGCATTGTACAACAGCACAATATGATGGCATGAGCGAATTAATGAATAGCCGAATAATACGATTCGTATGCCAAAATAATTGTGGAAAACTATTTCCATCACTTGTAAACAAATAAGAAAAGTGAGGTTGTGTTTCAATGTCTTCCTCCAGGGTCGGTCATCTGACAGCTCTTGCACGCAACCCATGAATAAATATGTCTAGTGATATAATTTTGACGAAATAACAACCGTGGTATTCTTTTAATTCTTCTTATCAGATTATTCAAAATTAACAATGTTCGTTATTGTTGAAAGTAGTATTTCTTCACTTATCCATATATACTACTACCAACCTATTCTACAGCATTTTTCTTAGTCCATTGCCTGAATTAGGAGTAGCAATGTCAGAATTTCACACTGTGTCCAAAGAATGTACTCGTATATGTCAGGATTCCGCTCCATATGAGATAATGCGTACACTACACTGTTTTACCACTAACCAAACCGATTTTTTAACGCCTCGACACGTGTTTCGCTAACTATGTTAGCATCTTCAGGAGAAGATTAAAACTAAATGCGTGCCAGAATTCTCAGTTTCAGTCAGAATTCTACACCACCCTGTATTTGTTTCAATTAAATACGAGCAAATAGTGAATAGTAGTCCTGTCGGAATTCGCAATTTACCTCTGCTTCATTTTAGGATCTGCCTGATCTTTTCTTTCGTTGGTTCAGGCAGCAACGCTTTCGAATGAGTTAATCCTGGCGATTTAGCCCAACGTGAGTCTTTTCCCCTCCGCCCAGTCCGAGGAAATTGTTTTGGTCGCCCTAGCGGAGACCCTAAAGTATGGTTCTGGTCATAGGACCCGATATTCGATTCCCTGTTTGGCGAGGATGTCGGCTTCCTCGTTGTCCTCCACCCCCTTATATCCCACAGCAGATTGACTCTGTTGTTAGCACCCAGGCATTCTAGGGATTCAATACACCTCCATACAAGCTTGGAATTCATCTTGCTGGAGCTCAGTGCTTTAAGAGCAGCCTGACTGTGTGATACAATGTTTTGTTCACTAGACGTCTACTCGTCAACTCTTAAGCACACAATTCAATAAATTGCAAAGACCTCCGCCTGAAAGATTGTAGCATACTTACCGAGATTCACTGAGATTTCCGTCTTCGGTTTTCTGGTGAACACACCGGCTCCAACTCCAAGCGGGGTTTTCGAACCATCTATGTACATTACGTGTTCAGTCTCTGGGAATTATATTTATCCTCTTACCCATTCTTCTCTCTACGGAAAAAGGACTTTGAAATACTTTTACATGTGTCTGAGTTTCCAACATGTCGGGAAGCATTCCTAGAGTTTTTTGATTTTTTATTTTACGTAGTATCTCGTAGTGGTCCAGCAGTCGCCCTCCTCTGATTTGATTTTCCAATGGAATCTATAGGCTTCCCTCTTCTAGGCAATGTGGAGGGCAGTGAGGTTTAGGAGGTTTCCCATCGCTGCCGTTGGAGTGGAGGACATCGCTCCTGTAATGAGGCATGCCAGCCGCTGAAGACCAGCAAGCTTTTCCCTGTCTGTTCCTTGCAGACCTTTAGTCCACCAGACTACCGATAGCCATAGGTAATCATAGGTTTTAGCATTGTCTGGTAAATCCAATAAATCTGTTAGGGGTTCATTTCCCAAGATTTAGTTAATAGTGAAAATGCATACCTCATGTAAACTTTCTGTTTAACATATCATCTTCATAATCTAATAGGTCCCTACTACGCTCGAGTAAATCCCCATTTAGCCTCTTTGCCTCCTCTACTGAAACAAGTAGGTATTGATTCTGCTTATACCAGTGGTGGTTAGATTAAAAAATTTGAATACGTGTCTATCAATGAGAACCTGATATGAATATTATCTGGTTGTCCAGAAGAGAAACAACAAACGTAACTATATCCACGTTCTCAAATAACTCTTCCAGATCTGCTGAAACCTCTTCTCACTGATCCGTGCATTCAAATCCAACAGTGTTCGGCCATCGCTCTCGGAAGATTGGTCCATCATGAGGCTACCATGGCTGATCAGCTCATCGTCCAGAATTTCCTGCCAATCTTACTGGGTACTCTCTGCAATGGAAATGTAAGTGAGGATGATTTGAAATTCGATGTTTTTTCTATCATCACTGGAATCATGACATACAGGGTTTTTCACGGTGAGCGTTAATTAGACGTTTCTGGCGAACCAAGCAACAGGTGAATCTGTAAATTTGATGGTATGTATGAATGGACATGATTTACACGTCTACACGGCATTGCCGCGTCTACTAGAGAGTATAAAAGCAACTTTGATATCTCGAATAAAGCCATAAAATGTATTTATGAACTACCATTTCTGGAAACAACATCTAGACTATACAAATCGAGGGATCTGCTAGATATTGACTCTCTCTTCAAAATGAAAGTATGCATTTCCATCCATTTCACTGAAAATAAGAAAAAGCACTCGAATCTTACTCTCATGCAATATCAATTATGATACCCATCAGCGTCACACAAGACAAAGTGAACATCTGAAAACTGTCAAAACAAGAACCCAATTTGAAAAAAAATCAGTATATTTTTGTGGAATCAATATTCATAATATAGTCTACCCAACAAAATAAAATATCTTAAGTTCTTCACAAAATTCAAGGGTGAAGTGAAGTAATATATTTCATCAATTTAACCATCCTTGTATCAATCAATTCTAATTGAACTGCTTATCTCTCATTTTATTTCGATTTATTAATTTTGTTTGTATCCCTCTAATGACCATACCTAAGTTTCTTAGGATCAAAATAAACGTTATTATCATTATTATTATTATATAAGGTGTTTAAAATCTAGATTGATCAGAACTATGAATCTTGAACCACTCCCTGTATTCGTTCCAATTTCATGTAGATAGTTGATCAAAAGTTCAGATAGGGACATGAAGCCGTTTTGGCCAATAATGAATAGCTTCGACACAAAAATATACCAAAGTTGAATAATTTCGATTTTGAACACCCCATATCTCTGTAATCGATCCTGCTAGACCCTAAGTGTGATGCATTTTTGAATGAGCTCCTCACGGAGAATCTAGAAATGCCATAAAATACAGGGTGTTCCACTTCAAAAATCAAAAGTTGCTGCTACTTTCTAGTAGAAGCGGCAACATCACATTGCCTTGAATATTTCAGACGTATAAAGCATATCAATTTATATATACTATCAAATTTTCAGATTCATATCCCTAACAACACCGGATCTTGCTGGTACATCCCGCTAAGGTCCTATAAAAATGTCCCAATGTTTCAGACTTAGGTACGATATCCCAGAGATGTTTCTCTTGGGACATTCATCAGATGTTTTCATTGGATGTTCTAGAAACATCCCATTTGATCTTTTTCTATAAACAATATCATGGTTCCATATTCGCTAATGATGATTGGCATGATTGAATAGTTCAAACAATTGTGACATTTGAAACATTAAAGAGTTGGTAAAAATGGAAATCAAAACTGTATTCGTATTCATATACTCATACCTATACGAAAGCCGGCTAATTTCATCGATAACAAATTGAAATAATTATACTAAATATTCCTCAATAGGATTACCAAAGTACCTGTTGAACCATGTAATAAACGACAAAATTGAAATATGTCTCTCCAGCATATTTATTGCTGAATTTATTTGCTATACCAGCCGATAGATGGCGGTGCAACTACGTTATTAAGAGTTACTAACAGCCGTCGGCCCAGCGCCAACAAATATGAGCCTCAAACAACTGTTATCATCTTCCATTAGTTATTGGACCGCACCGACCTTATAGTTTCGGATTCGGATTGTTATATATACTTTATATCTGGAAATAGGTCGTCCATTTTCAGGATTTCAGATTGAAAATAATTCATACCGTGTCATCCATTAATGTCATCAAACAAATAACATCCTAGAAGTTTCTTCAAGATGTTCCATATCAAGTACCCTGAATGTCTCTGGTACATCCCGTATCATCCCACAAACATTCTGATGGGATGTTTATAAGACATCGCAAATGCTGACAAGGGTGTTGCCAGCAACATCCCAAGAATGTCCCGAGGAAAATAGGGATTTTCCAGAGATGTTCCCATCATCCCATATGGATGTTTCTACGACGTCTTACAGATGTTATTGTGTTATTAGGGATGTTACTTGGTTTGCCAGAAACGTCTAATTAACCTCCATGGTGAAAAACCCTGTCTATGAAGTTAACAAGATAAAAATATCATCTAAATGTCATGGTTATGAAATATTCTCGACAAAATTGGGGACAGGGTGGTAAAGTTAGAGATTATAAATTGAATTTATCAGAATTTATGAAATTTTTAAACGTGTTACATCGAAAATTGATATTTGGTGTTTTTTCAGGATGCCAAACACGAATACAGACAACTTTTCACTGTGGCCATTAGAGGGCGCTCTTTAATGCACTTCTTATGGTTCAGAATGGCCATTACTTTTTTCTCAGTGTATTCTCACTTTATTCGTTGAGGAACTAATTTGATGAATATTTTGAAGCAAGAAAAGATACACTTGTGAAAATCACTAAAGCTAACTTCCACTAGGCAAATTTGGAACTGAATTTGTTAATGTAACGTTCCAGCAATCTCACAGCAGCGTGTAATATTGCTGCAACGCTACATTATCAAATTTCACCATTGCAACATTGTTGAACGCCCGTTTCAGTAATATTGCTTCAACATTGCTTCAACATAGCTTTCAACTTTGATCAGTGGGAGCCGATTTCGAGATATTTTGGTTTTTCATATTCGGTGCCGCACCGGATTATTTAAATTATTTTGAATATAAAATTTTCCTGCTGTTATCTTCTTGGATGTAATTTGGTCAGTGAATCAACGGTGCAAAATATTAATTTTCCTAACAAGTGCGGAAAGTGAATGCACGACGCGAAGCGGAGTTCGGGCAAGCAGTCGAGTGCGGGAAAGACACTTTCCGCATGAGTTAGGAACAATATTTTTCTACAAGCGTTGGAAATTGATTGATTTGTTCAATCAATTATTCCTGCAAATATAGGAACAACTAACAATAGTGTTATATTCTCTATCTTCTAATAATTATAGTGATATATCTATTGTGTGTATCGTTGGAAGCATTATGTAGGTGGGTTTATTGCGGAAGCCAGTATGCCCGTGGTATTTGCATGGCCTTTAGGTTTCAGACATTTCTAGGAAATGTGACAAAAATACTTCTTCTTTATTTGGTGTTTTCCTCGGTGTTCTCACTTTTTTACTATTGCATAATTCAATAAATCCCGTGTAGTACTCCTCATAGCTTTTTTAACACTTCATTGGCAATAACTCATCTGTATCGCATCTGCAGCTGTTTTTCATCGCAATCCCACTGAATCGAAATTGGCAGTAACGCTCTGTCTGTCACTGTGAGAATAACACTAACTAATTTGTGTTTTGATTGACATGACAACAATTGTTTCCCACATCAGATCAATGGGCTTATATCACAAAAAAAAATTATTTCATAATTCGATAGAATTCACCCAAACTAGCTCACTACCGCAAACCGTCTCTTGCTGTGAGCTTCCTACGTTTTATATTGAAATCTCCGATTTTTCGGACCTCTGAAAACGAGGCGATGATGTGACGTCAAAACCCTAATACTGAAACAAGACTATTCTAGACAGAGATGAATGAAACATGATTTTTGACAGAGTGAATTAGCGCGAGATCACAGTTGAAAGAATTGATATATCAGTTGCTTCAGTCTCCGTCGGGCGTTTGGTATTTTCTTTTAACTATGGCGAGATGAGGTTTCTACGTCATAAGAGGGTCCGTTTTTAGAAGGTACTATTATTTATGTGCAATAATAAAACATTCCAGTTAATTTTTCAATCGAATTATGTCGTCAATCATTATTTATGTATAAAAGGATCATTATAAACATGGTATGAGTTAAAAGTTCTACCAAGGTGTACACGCCCATTGAAGGCTATAGGGGAATTTATATCACAATCAATTAATGTTCTTCAATATTTCTTCATTTTCACAATAAATAGTAGGTACAATTTCATCGATGATTTTGTACAAACTTACTAAAACTTAATTTCCATATTGTGTCACCCACCACTCATATTTTGCGAGAATATTATATAAATGTTTTCCCGCACTAGTATGGAAAAAACATTTCCCGCACTAGTATGGGAAATCCTTTCCCGCACTACTGCGGGAGAATGACACTCCCCAAACTCAATTGCGTGCGGGTATAGGGTGAATCACGCACGCTTGTAGAAAAATGGATTTTTCAAAATACTTTCTTAGAACGTACATATCGATTTTTATTTTTCATCTTCACCACCCTGTATCTCGGAAACGGAGCAATTTCGGAATGAAGTGAAGTTGCTTTACCTTATTTTGACCTCAGGAATATGTTTAAAGATTTTGTACAGACTAGGGGTGGGCGATAATGATTTTGAAATATCGATTATCGATAATCATAATGTATCGATATTATCGATTTATCGATATTATCGATATTATCGATATTATCGATATTATCGATATTATCGATATTATCGATATTATCGATATTATCGATATTATCGATATTATCGATATTATCGATATTATCGATATTATCGATATTATCGATATTATCTATATTATCGATATTATCGATAATATCGATGAATCGATGATTTTTCTTCAATTTATTATCGATAATTATCGATATATCGATAATTTTTCCCACCCCTAGTCGTGACAAGGGTATTTTTATGAAACTAATTTTTTTAATGATAATTTACTTTTTGGTTTCTAGGTGGGTATGATAAACAAAGCTATTTTGTCATTATGTTATTTTTCAAGAAATGAGCGATCGAATGATAAAATAAAAATATTCCATATAATTATATAACACACCTTACTTGATACTTGTTACTCGTTCAACACAAAACTAACCAAAAAGTTTGCCACCACAACTAATAAGGGTTGCCACGTTGCCAGATGTCAGATAGCTTCAGGCAAGTTGCTGTGCTGGTTTCCTATGTTGTTTGAACAAGGCTAATGTACAGGGTGCCGTGTCTTATTATATTTTCATTCCTTCCTCAATTCTTACCAGCAGGTATCTATTTTATACAGGGTGTTCCATATAAAAAACAAAAATACCTATTTTTCTGATGCTCATTCATTTTGATAATTTTGATATTATCGGTTATATCGATAATTTCGATAATTTCGATATTATCGATGATATTGATAATTTCGATAATATCGATAATATCGATAATATCGATAATATCGATAATATCGATAATATCGATAATATCGATAATATCGATAATATCGATAATATCGATAATATCGATAATATCGATAATATCGATAATATCGATAATATCGATAATATCGATAATATCGATAATATCGATAAATCGATAATTTTTCTCCAAATTATTATCGATAATTATCGATAATTATCGATAATTATCGATATATCGATAATTTTTCCCACCCCTAGTACAGACCCGTTCTTTGATTTCAGAAATATCAAAAAAAATCTGTACTTTTCGTGTTGCGATCGATTTGTAAACATAATGCCAACTGTGCTACCTGCGTTATCAACGCTGGAGGTCTACAAGCCTTGATAGGATGTCTGGAAGATTTCGAAGCAACTGTGAGTAAAACAAATAGATAGTAAAAATCTTCCTCTTTCTCTATTTCTTCTGCTGTAGCAATCAATCAATATACAGGGTGTCTGTAAAAGGTTGGGACATGGCTCGGCTGTGGACTCCTGGGATAAAAACGAGTTGAATTAGGGCAACTTACCTGTATCCAAAATCATCTCGTTGAGTTGGTACAAGGCGTTGAAGTTTTTTTTGGAAAAAAGATAATTTTGCTCATAAAAAGAGTAGGCTGAGATCGATTTTCATAATTCTTGGCATGGCATGTTCTGTGACTGTAAGTCACGTTTTGAGATGTTTTTGATCTTCATCATCATGACCTGCAAGTATTTCAAAAAACCATATTGCCGCACAAATTTGGTGATAACTTCCAGTTTTTTTCCCAGAAAGATATCCCCTTCAGAGATATTTTTTGTATCGTGTTAATTTTTGATAAGTCTCGAGGTTCATTTGAAAATAAATAATTTCTGATCTGATGCATCCTGCGCATTTTTGAAAATTGATCTAATGAGTCGGACTGTTTATTGATCATTGCTACAATGATTTAGGACCTAAGGTGAGAACTTTAACGCCTTGGACCAACTCAACGAAACGATTTTGGATATAGCTAAAATCAAACTTATTTTTAAAATCAACTTATTTTTATCCCAGGAGTCTACAGTCAAGCAATGTCCCAACCAGATAATTTTTCTGAAAAAATGCATAAGATGCCACAGATCAGAAATTATTTATTTGCGTGTGAACCTCGAGACTTATCAAAAATTAACACGATATAAAAAATATTTCTGAAGGAAATATCTTTCTTGAAAAATGGAACTGGAAGTTTTCAGTCTGACTTCTGAAAAGTTTTCACCAAATTCTCACACCAAAGTTCAGAAGGAAATGACTTCAAAATTAAAAACGACCAAATCGAACTACAAGTTTTGACGAAAATGTTTGCCAAACTTTTGGCTATTTTTTGGTGGTGCGCTAATTTCTTGAAGAAGTGTATACTTCATTTCACCATCTCCTTGTCTTGAAGTCAAATCCATACCCCTCTCTGAATATGTTGAAGTTGTCAATGTTCTCTGTATGAGGCACAGCAGAGAAATACCAGATGCCATACTGTTAAGAGATCCATGACTGAGATAAACCTCTATGTCCTTACAGGTGAAAGAATCCGCCGCCTGGGGCATTGGCTACATAGCCAGACACTCCAAGGCTCTAGCCCAAGTCTGCGTGGACGCTGGAGCTGTTCCTTTACTTCTCCTCTGCCTGCAAGAGCCTGAGTTGTCCTTGAAACAGATCGCCACCAGCGCCATCTCTGATATCGCGAAGCACAGCATGGAGCTGGCTCAGAACGTCGTCGATGCTGGTGTTGTTCCCTATTTGGTGAAGAATCTCAACAACACCGACGAGAGGATGAAGAAACATATATTGTGCGCCCTGAGTATGTTGAAAACCTTGAGATTCGTCGAGCAACTCTTTACCAAGCCTTAGCCCAAATGGAGTGCTGATAGCCTTCATTAACAATGTGTGGAAAATATGCCAACATTGAACTAAGTGTGCAATATATCGGTATCTCTCAGAGAGGCTTCGAGCTACAAAGAAAGACACAAAAAAGACACAAAGACAGACACAAAGAAAGACACAAAGAATGACACAAAGAAAGAGACAAAGAAAGACACAAAGAAAGACACAAAGAAAGACACAAAGAAATACACAAAGAAAGACACAAAGAAAGACACAAAGAAAGACTCAAAGGAAGACACAAAGAATGACACGAAGAAATACACAAAGAAAGACACAAAGAAAGACACAAAGAAAGACACAAAGAAAGACACAAAGAAAGACACAAAGAAAGGCACAAAGAAAGACACAAAGAAAGACACAAAGAAAGACACAAAAATACACAAAGAAAGACACAGAGAAAGACACAAAGAAAGACACAAAGAAAGACACAAAGAAAGACACAAAGAAAGACACAAAGAAAGACACAAAGAAAGACACAAAGAAAGACACAAAGAAAGACACAAAGAAAGACACAAAGAAAGACACAAAGAAAGACGCAAAGGAAGACGGAAAGAAAGATACAAAGAAAGACACAAAGCAAGACACAAAGTAAGACACAAAGAAAGACACACAGAAAGGCACGAAGAAAACAAAAAAGAAATACACAAAAAAGACACAAAGAAGGACAAAGATACAAAGGAAGACGAAAAAATAGATACGAAGAAAGACACGAAGGAAGACACAAAGAAATACACAAAGAAAGATACAAAGAATGACACAAAGAGGGACAAGGAGAAATACACGAAGAAAGACACGAAGAGAGGCACGAAGAAAGAACAACGAAATACACGAAAAAAGACACAAAGAAAGACACAAAGAGAGACACGGAGAAATACACGAAGAAAGTCACGAAGAGAGGCACGAAGAAAGACACGAAGAGATACACGAAGAAAGACACGAAGAAATACACGAAGAAAGACACAAGGAAGGATACAAAGAAAGACACGAACAAAGACATGCACAAACAAAGACACAAACAAAGGCACAAAGAGAGGCAGAAAGGAAGACATAAAGGAAGACACAAAGAAATACACCATGAGAGACACAAAGAAAGACCCAAAGAAAGACACAAAGAGAGACACAAAGAAATACAAAAAAAGGCACAAACAGAGACACCAAGGAAGACACAAGGGAAGACACAAAGAAATACATGAAGAAATACACAAAAAGAGACACACAGAAAGGCACAAAGGAAGAATCAAAGAAAGACACAAAGGAAGACACGAAGAAAGACACAAAGAGAGACACGAAGAAAGACACGAAGGAAGACACGAAGAAAGGCATAAAGAGATTCACAAAGATAGACACAAAGAAAGGCACGAAAAAAGACTCAAAGAAAGACACAAAGGAAGACACGAAGGAAGACACGAAGACAAACACAAAGAAAGACACAAAGAAAGACACAAAGAAAGACACAAAGAAAGACACAAAGAGAGACACAAAGAAAGACACAAAGAAAGACACAAAGAAAGACACAAAGAAAGACACAAAGAAAGACACAAAGAAAGACACAAAGAAAGACACAAAGAAAGACACAAAAAAAGACACAAAGAAAGACACAAAGAAAGACACAAAGAAAGACACGAAGAAAGACACGAAGAAAGACACAAAGAAAGACACAAAGAAAGACACAAAGAAAGACACGAAGAAAGACACAAAGAAAGACACAAAGAAAGACACAAAGAAAGACACAAAGAAAGACACAAAGAAAGACACAAAGAAAGACACAAAGAAAGACACAAAGAAAGACACAAAGAAAGACACAAAGAAAGACACAAAGAAAGACACAAAGAAAGACACAAAGAAAGACACAAAGAAAGACACAAAGAAAGACACAAAGAAAGACACAAAGAAAGACACAAAGAAAGACACAAAGAAAGACACAAAGAAAGACACAAAGAAAGACACAAAGAAAGACACAAAGAAAGACACAAAGAAAGACACAAAGAAAGACACAAAGAAAGACACAAAGAAAGACACAAAGAAAGACACAAAGAAAGACACAAAGAAAGACACAAAGAAAGACACAAAGAAAGACACAAAGAAAGACACAAAGAAAGACACAAAGAAAGACACAAAGAAAGACACAAAGAAAGACACAAAGAAAGACACAAAGAAAGACACAAAGAAAGACACAAAGAAAGACACAAAGAAAGACACAAAGAAAGACACAAAGAAAGACACAAAGAAAGACACAAGGAAAGACACAAAGAAAGACACAAAGGAAGACACAAAGAAAGATACAAATAAAGACAGAAAGAAAGACGCAAAGAAAGACGCAAAGAAAGACACAAAGAAAGATCGACACACAGAAAGACACAAAGGAAGACAAAAAGAAAGACACAAAGAAAAACAAAAAGAGATACAGAAAAAAGACACAAATAAGAAGGACGAAGATACAAAGGATGACGACACGAAGAAAGGCAAGAAGAATGACACAAAGAAATACACAAAGAAAGACATGAAGAAAGTCACAAAGAAATACACGAAGAAAGACACAAGGAGAGATACAAAGAAAGACACAAACAAAGACACAAAGAGAGACAGAAAAGAAGACATAGAGGAAGACACAAAGAAAGACACCAAGAGAGACACACAGAAAGACCCAAAGAAAGACACAAAGAAAGACGTAAAGAAATAAACAAAAAAAGACACAAAAAGAGACACCAAGAAAGACACAAGGAAAGACACAAAGAAAGACATAAAGAAAGACATAAAGAAATACACGAAAAGAGACACACAAAAAGGCACAAAGGAAGACTCAAAGAAAGACACAAAGGAAGACACGAAGGAAGACACGAAGAAAGACACAAAGAGAGATACAAGGAAAGACACAAAGACAGACACAAAGAAAGACACACAGAAAGACACAAAGAAAGACACAAAGAAAGACACAAAGAACGACACAAAGGAAGACACAAAGAAAGACACCAAGGTACGAAACTACGAGAACAGAAAAACACAAAAACACGAAAACACAAGAACACGCAAACACGAAAACACGGAAATAAGAAAACACGAAAGCACGAAGTCTCGAAGACATGAAGACAGACAGACACAACATATACAACAAAGACAAAGTCAGAGACTGATGCAACAATAACAGACAATATGGAGAATACACTGAAAAAAACATCGCACGACGTCTAGTAGCATTTCAAATGGTTCCAGGTTCTTGCGCCAAACACACCGTCGATTTAGCCGAGGTAGTAGTCGAAGCAGAAATCTTTCCTGGCGTACTGCTGCACCTGGCGCATCCGTGCCCTGCCGTGCGCAGGAACGCCGCCTGCCTGGTCAGGGACATCGTGAAGCACTCGCTGGAGCTGACGCAGCTGGTGGTGAACACTGGAGGGATCGGGGCGCTGATGGAGGTGCTGTTCCAAGCGGACGATGAAGCTGGAGCAAAGTTGCCGACTATTACAGCGCTGGGATTCATTTCAGGTGAAGATTTCCATATACTGTCTGTTTAATATTCCTTTGCGTGTGACTGAAATTAGCATAGACTTACGCGCAACTTGCTATCCTCTTCAGACTTGCATATAGAGCAGCAATGTCTATCATGACGTTTGTTGACATAAGTTACGACATCGTTTTTGAACTCAACGGGTTAAAAGCTTGAATATGTCGTATGTCGAGACACATTTGAATCGGCTAATTCAGAGGCGTGCAGTAGGTGCTGAAATGACATCGTTTTGCGTGGCCATTGTAAAATACTATTCAAGATGCCAGGAAGACGTTTGAATTCGCGAGCACGAAGTCTTGTATCGAATTTGTGACAATATTTCACAAGAGAGAAAGATGATTAAGGTCCTTTAATCCCGTTTACTTCCATAAAACAGGTAAATTATAAATCATCCTGATCAATAATAGAAATAGTCAGACCTTACTTCAAGAATATCATCATGATGTACATAATTTTAGCGTGTCGCTGATGCCCTCAATATTAGTCTGCGGACAGTTTCGAGTATTAAAGTACGTTCTGAGAGAAACGAAAGTTTGATTACGCCAGGGAAATCTAGGACCAAAAAAAACCCAAGACAGTAGATCTGGATGATAATTTGAAAATGGAAGTACGCAATGTGATCTATATATACTATATGTATGCAGAAAGTAACTGATTTCGTTTGATACTTCTTGACTACCTTCAACTGACTATTTTACAGAAAAACACATCACTCTTAGAATTTTGAAAAAAGAACTCTGAACTAAACATATTCTTGAAGCAAGTATAGGCACATTGAGCAAACTCCTCACAAATGTAGGATTCAAATATAGAAAAGAAGACAACAGTCGGTTATTGGTTGAGAAGACGGACATACCTATAACGAGAATAGAGTTTTTCAGAAAGTTTTATGAAAATCGTAATTCTAGTTACCCTAGACAAATCATCTTCTTTGATGAAACTTGGATATTTGCGAAAGGGAATAAGATGAGAGCATGGCAAGATCAAAGTACAAGTTGTAAACCAGAAGGTTATGATGGGAAACGATTTATTGTACTTCATGCTGGCCATAGTGGTGGTTTTGTGGAAAATGCTGCATATAGAAATATAGCAAATACCTAAAACGACTCAATAGTGTTCGGCTTTGCCACGACCACAGAATACCTTACAAAAGCATTAAATAGATGTGTATATCCGGTCATATATCACCCCTTACGTATATACATACCCTGATACATGTTTTTGCCTTCAATAAATTGACGAATTAAAGAGTTCGAACTTGAAATATATACCAATCCTATGTTTTATTGAATGTTTCTTAGCCGAAATTACCTGGAGTAGTGAATGAACATTTTCTGAATATTATTTATTTTAACCTAATTTCTGAAGCAGCACAGCACTGCTTCACTGGAACATGACCTTGAATTGATTAGATTCGTTTTTTGAAGTTGTGACGTACGCGCAAAGAAATATTATACAGACTGAACCAGTTCTCAACACACTAAATGGACCATTCATAATTTGACTCTATTTCGAAGACCTGTATTTTTTGAAAAAATGGACTGATCTTCATGCGGTTTTCGATATCAGATGTGATATTTTATCGGCTTCAAAGAGAGCTAGAACACTCTGAAAAATTCCGCGGAACAAAACTTACACAGGGTGTAAAGTGGCACCATTACACTATGGTCTACATTTCCAATGCTGCCAGAACTCGAGAAATTTTTTTCTGATCAAAAGTCAGTCATATTATGATACACTGGGACCTCATCTCGGGACGTTTTCGTGTTTTCTCCTTAATTAGCTATTGAAACAAAAATTCGATTCTTTATAAAAAAAAATACATTTGGTCCCTGAGTTTATTACGAGGGAAGTAGAAAAGAGAATGGAATGAAAATATCAACATTCTAATATAATTCTTCCCAGAACGAAGTGTCCCAACGCCCTTCTAAGTGCATTCGTTCTTCTCATAATAATTTTGTTCCACGCGTTCATTACAAATTGCTTTGAATAATTTTTGCATTCTGCCCTGACAAACTTCTACCAACCAATATCATTTTCAGCACATTCGGAACACCTGGCCATGTCCGTGCTAGGCTGCAAGGTCATCATCGTCCTCGCCGAAATCCTCCAGGAATCCCGAGACGATGCCCTACTCTCCGTATCAGCCTGGGCTGTCGGCCAAATCGGCAAACACAGTCCCGAGCATGCGCAAGCCGTGGCCGCAGCCAACATATTTCCACGCATGGTCAGTCTCTATACCAGCGACAAATCGTCCGAGGATTTGAAGTATAAGTGCAAGAACTCTCTGAAGCTGTGCCTGCAGAAGTGCTTGCTACTGTCTGCGTTGGAGCCGTTGCTCTATACTGCCCCATCGAATATTCTGAAGTACGTTTTGGGACAGTACAGTAAGGTAAGGATAGTGCCAGTATCGTAAAACGTACCGATTGTTGTGGCTCTCAAAATATCCTCATTAGTATTCACAATATTTCGACCTATATAATATGCGGACTGAATTTCGTCTATAATTTTGTTGTGTATGGGATTACGAAGTGTGATTAACTTGTTCATGGTGGTTAGCAAATCAGACCATTTTACGCAGAATGTGGCCAAAGTTGAAACTAATTCAGGATGTGTCATTCTCACCTCGCGTAGAATTCAAAAATTCAAACATATATTCAGTATCTATACGAGCGTCAAATGATCCGAGGACTTGAAATATAAGTACAAGAACTCTCTGGAGCTATACTTGCAGATGCTTGCAGTTATGTCTGCTGCGTCGGAGGCGCTGCTCCATACTGCCCCATCTAATATCCTTAAGTATGTTTTGGGACAGAACAGTAAGGTGAGGATAGGGCCAGTATCGTGATGATGGCGGTGGCTGCCAAATATCTTCAATAGTATTTATGATCTTTCGACCTATGTACACTGAATACCGACTGTAATTTTGTTGTGTTTGGAATTATGAAGTGATCAGCTACTTTATCGTCGTTAGCAAATCAAATCATATTTTACGCAGAATGTTGCCAAAGTTATTTATAACTAAATCAGGATATTCATTCTCACAGTTCCCAAAAAATTTAAACATATTCCCGCGCATGGTCGGTCTCTCAACTAGCGACAAATCGTTCGAGGTTTTGAAATACAAGTGCGTGAACTCTCTGAAGTTGTGCCTGTAGAAGTTTTTGCTGCTGTCTGGGTTGGAGCCGCTGCTTTATACTGCCCCATCGAATATTCTAAAATACGTTTTGGGACAGTACAGTAAGGTAAGGATAGCCCCAGTATGGTAAAACGTACCGATGGCTGCAGCTCCTCATAATATCTTCATTTGTAATCACAATTTTTCGACCTATATGCGCACTGAATTTCGTCTGTAATTTTGTTGTGTATGGGATTTCGAAGTGTGATTAACTGGTTCATGGTGGTTAGCAAATCAGACCATTTTACTCAGAATGTGGCCAAAGTTGGAACTAATTCAGGATGTGACGTGCTTGGTCAGTATCTGTACGAGCGACAAATGATACGAGGACTTGAAATATAAGTGCAGGAAGTCTCTAAAGCTATACCTGCAGAAATGTCTGATGCTGTCTGCGTTGGAGCCTCTGCTCCATACTGTCCCAACTGATATCCTCAAGTACGTTTTGGGACAGAACATTAAGGTAAGGACAGCGCCAGTATCGTGATGATGACTGTGGCTGTCAAATATCTTCATTAGTATTTATGATCTTTCGACCTATGTGCACTGAATTCCGACTGTAATTTTGTTGTGTATGGAATTATGAAGTGATCAACGAGTTCATGGTGGTTAGCAAATCAAATCATTTTAAGCAGAATGTGGCCAAAGTTAGAACTAATTCGCGTCGAATTAAAAAATCATAACATATTCCCGCGCATGGTCGGTCTCCCCTGGCTAACCACAACAAGGAAACTCTTCAATGGGTGCCAGGGCATAAGGGAATTGAAGGCAATGAAGCAGCTGACGCTCTTGCCAGGCAAGGGTCTGCGATGTTGTTTATGGGACCGGAACCTGTGTTCGGTATCCCCAAAACCTCAATACGTGGCTGGCTGGCAAGGTGGATGCAAGAAAGACATCAGGCATACTGGAACAATGTCCCAGGACAAAGACACAGTAAACTGATGGTTGGAACACTGTCCAAAACAGTGACTAACGACATTCTGAGCCTAAACAGAAGTCAGATCAAACAAGTGACGGTCCGGTCACTGCCCCTTGAGGAAACATATGCATCAAATGGGCATCTATACAGACGAACCCATATACAGACTATGCAATGGGGAGGAGGAAACTGCCACCCATGTAATATTGGAGTGCGAAGCACTAGCGCGTTGGAGATACAACCTTCTGGGAGCAGTAAACTCTCAAGAGGCATTTTCAAAGAATGATTTGGTGAAGAGGCTGCCAAACCTCATCAAGGTAGCGAACCTAAGTCAACAGCATGATCAGGAATACAATAGGCCCAAAGGCTGTAGTGTTTTGGGCTTCAAACCCTGACTGATCATTCTGCTATTAATCAATCAATCAATCAATCAATGGTCGGTCTCTATACTAACGACAAATCGTCCGAGGTTTTGGGATTAGAGTGCAAGCAGAACTCTCTGAAGTTGTGCCTGTAGAAGTTTTTGCTGCTGTCTGGGTTGGAGCCGCTGCTTTATACTGCCCCATCGAATATCCTGAAGTACGTTTTGGGAAATTATCGTGAAAAGTACCGATGGCTGTGGCCGTCAAAATATCTCCATTAGTATCATACTCTGATATTTATAATCTTTCGACCTATGCGCACTAAATTTTCACTGTCATTTTGTTGTGTATGAGATTACGAAGTGATTATAACTAGTTTATGGTAGATATAGCAAATCAGACCATATGTGACGTAGAATGTGGCCAAAGTTGGAACTAATTCGGGATATGTCATTGTCACAGTTCGCGTCAAATTCAAAATGTGAAACATATTCCCGTTCATGGTCTCAGTCTCTATACTAGCGAAAAATCGTCCGAGGATTTGAAATACAATTGCAAAAATGATGATGATGTTCCGCCACCAAAAGTTCAAAATGTTCCTTCACCTAAATTTCAATTTTTATTGCTTGCAATAACTACGATGCTTTCAATTTACATCTAGAGGCACGGCAGTGTCTTGCACCAAGAACTCGTATGAAATAAAGTTTCCGGAGAGGAAGCCTGATGAACGGTCAAATAATCCAGGGAAGGCAACAGACTCGCAAATTCTTCACTTACACTGCGGGGCGATATACTTACAGAAGATATTTTAAAAAACTCAAAAACAAGCTCTTGTAGTTGCCGAAATGAAAAATAGAAAATGAATAGAATAAAAAAATACGCTTCTATATAGTGTTTTCACAAAGTTAGCGTTACTTAACGAAATAAATATGCATATCTCCCCCAGAAAAAAAGTCGATACTCACAACCTCCAAAAGTTCTAAAGGAACTCTAATACCTACTTCCTTTCCCTTTATTTGCTAGGTACGCACGATGTTCTTCGAAAATCATAGGAATTTTATTTCGAGCGCTCCAAGAGAAAAAAAACATTATTCATTATAAAAGGGAAAAAAGTACTAGATTTTGGCTCGAGGTTGTAGTCGCATATTTGCGTTTGCGAGGCGGAGCGACCGCGAAGCCGCTTATCAAACAGAGTGTCACATTTGATCCTAGTAAAACAATATACTATTTTTCCCATACGTTGCAGACTTTATGCTGGATGTCACTGTATATCACAATAAAATAACTAACTGAATCGCTGATTTCAATGTCGTCGAGCATCGCTTTTTATACAAATAATATAACCTGATGACCTCCAATTTACGAGTTTATTTCAATTTTTATACTTACCCACAAACACTATCGACAAAGTGGGCAATTCATCTATTGTAGTATACTTATGCGGGTAATAATAATTAGTTCCCTGTTCCTATAACAGAAAAATGTTCAATTCAAATTAGATTAAATAGGGATATTTAATTTTCATACAAATCAACTATATACCTATGCTAGAGATACCGACTTGAATAAAAATATTGTGACTTAGCCAAACTTTCCTCTGTCTAAAATTTGATAATAACAAAGATACAGGGTGCCAAAGTTTCAATTTGTATTCCATTTTCTTCAATAATTCATCAACAGGGTGACAAAACAGCACGAAATTTGTCATTATAGGGGGTTTTTTGAGACCAAAATCCGTTCTTAGTTCGGATGTCACTCATACCATAGATTAAACAAATCTATGCTCATACGGAATGAGCAAGTATTTTTCAGGATTGATTTTAAACCTTTCTTGCATCATGTATATTTTTCAACTCATTCGGTAATGAATTGTATAAAATTATTCCATTGTGAAAAACGGATTGTTTGCCAATGTTTGACTTAAATGTATTTGTATGGACTGTATTGACTTCATTGAAAGCTAGATTTGATATTTCCAATTTATTCCTGACAAAATGAATAAAGCAACATATATTACCCTAACAACACCAGTACATCCTAGGGACTTCCCATGGATGTCCCTGATTTTATACTAGGACATCCCAGGGATGTCCTTTGTCGGGACAACGTACATACTAGGGATGTCCCAGGGACATCCGCTGGCCGCTAAAAAAGGCATCCAAGGGATGTCCTTTAGGTAAGTCCCTGGGATGTACCAAGTACGATGAAAGGATATCCCTAGGACGTCCCAAGGATATCCCAGGGACATGCTTTCGACAAAAGAAAAAAGTTGTTGCTCCATTGGCTATCATACCTCCTGAAGATTTATGTACTGAACAAATTTATAAACAGGACTTACCTACAGAAACCTGAATAAATAAAACTTTATTAGGAATTGGGTATAATTATTATCATTCTTGGGTGTTTAAAAATGAGGGGCATTATGCATGTACGATTTCTGTCTGCGAAATATGGTAATTTCTTAAGAAGTTCTGAGACTTTATTCTTTATTTTCATTACAAACATTTTCCGAAAGAGGAACAAACATTTTCAAAAAAATTCAACTCAATAGTTTGATGAAATTCAATGACTCTGATGTGAATGGATATCAGATACTCCAGGGACACGAATAGGATAACCTAGGGATGTACCGGGCGGGATGTCCACTGGACAACCACTGCAGGACATCCCCTGGATGTCCCAATCATGTCCTTATACCGCGGGACAAAAAAAGGACGTACCTAGGACATCCCTGTGTTGTTAGAGTAAGTTCATATAACGAAATCAGGTTCAGAAAATGTCTAAGTTTGAATAAATTTTCGTTGGTTCTAGAAAATGTAGATGAAAAATGCACTTAATTGATTTGTTTTGTAATTTCATTAGTGGTTTCAGTCGTGAAATATTTGTACTCACCCAAATGGAAATTAAATATTTCAAATTTGTCCGTGCGATAAGCTACTTCACACCTCAACAGCTTCTCATGATCTACAAAGCGCAGATAAGGCCTGTTCTAGAATACTGTTCCCACATATGGGGTTCAGCACCAAAACATACGCTGATGCTCTTAGATTCCATCCAGAGAAGAGCCATCCGCCTGGTGGGTGACGCCACACTCACTCACTCTTGGACATCATTGGAACACCGGAAAGGTCGGCGACCTTTCACTTTTCTATCGAAACTACCACGGAAAATGCGCTTCGGAAATCTCTGCTATCATCCCTTCAATAGCAATACCAGTCAGACAAACTAGACAAGCCCAGTCAGCACATCCTTTCGTTGTCAACCTCGAAAGATGTCGAACAGCACTTTATCAAGACTCCTTCGGCTAGGCTCTGGAATTCATTGCCTGTGAAAGTATTCCCACCAACATATTATAATCTCCAGAAGTTCAAAAAAATTCCAATACCTACCTCCTATCCCTATCCTCCCTAGGAACGCACGATGTTCTTTGAACATTATATAGGGATTAACTTTCGTGCGCTCCAAGCGATAAAAAAAAGTGAATACATCTCAAGTATTTTATTGGAATAATATTTAGAATTTTGGTCAAATGGTCTATATGTTTAACCCATAATAATTTTTCGTCAATATAGAGACCTTAAGATGTTGTCACGTCTGTATATTCGATTAATCTATTGTTGAAAGTTATAGCATTATTCGAAATATTAACTAATCTCTTGGAAATATACATATATGAAGATTTGTTATAATTGATAGTCAACTTATGAATTTGCATCCAAGATGATATGTTTTCCAAATCACTTTCAATATTCCGTTCGATATCATTCAATTCTTTCGATATATTCATATTACAGCTGATTTTTGGAATATTGATCAATGTTGTATCATCCGCAAAAAAAATTAGCTTTCCTCTCAATTTCAGAGTTGATATTGAATTAATATAAATTGAAAATAAAATTGGTTCCAGAACTGATCCTTGCGGTACTCCACATGTATTATTCTTTAGTGAGCCAGAAGTATCATTCACTTCAACATACTGCTTTCTATTCGTCAAATAATGTGTGAACCAATCATGAATTCTTCCTCTGACACCGATTGAATATAATTCATTTAGTAAAATGGTATGATCTACAGTGTCAAATGCCTTACATAGGTCCAAGGACAAGAATCCACATTAATAATTTTCATCAATCCGTTTGGAAAGGTATACTTACTTCGCAAATTACTCCATTTACGAGAAATTTCCGTATCAATTATTCAATACAACTTCGCAAATCCCCATCAGTTGCATTTGTCATTAACTAGGCTGATGTGATTAAATCAGATATGAAATAACAAACGTTACGTGAAAAAATAATAAATACATAAACTGCAACATACCTACCTGTATATCGGGAAAGAGGGTCCTACGCATGTATTATATCTATGAAGGACATTTTTATTCTTGAAAGTCCTGCTGAAAAAACTGACTTACCCTGTATAGCTGAAATGATTAAGAGACAGCATTAAAAAAACATCTGATAGAGTTACTACAGAGGTACTGTACCTTGTTATTCATATCACCAACTCGGAGAAAAAAATCGAATTTCATCATGATCAATTATCTGAAATTAAGACCTACAACTCTGCCAGAATCCAATAATATTATTGTTAGTATCAAGCAAATAATCAATGAATAAAATCATTAGGTCATTGAGTATACTTACGTTATTAGAAATTGAGAGATAAGGAGTTGTTATTGTTACTTCCCATAATTATTATATTTTTGCAAACAACAATATTATATGAAATCATTGAGGCCGAATCAGAATCACCCAGTAGCGTAAATTCAATTCCCTTCAAGTGATTTGAAAATATTATTATCATGGTTATCATGTTATAAATTGAGTATGAATTATAGTAAATCAGCATTTATGTTCATCTCAAAAAAATCAAGATATAATGAGTACAAATTTCCAATTGCATATAAATAATGGAGTCATCAAATATTCAAATAATATCAAGTTTCTTGGGCTGTACATAGATCAAAATTTGTCATGGTCAAATCATGAAATACTTGAAAGAAAAAATCTCCAATAATAGGTTTACTTTTCAGGGTACGGAATCAAGTTCCTATCCCTAACAGCACACAACGTCCTAGGGACGTCCCTATTCGGTACAATTCACGTCCGAATGTCCCGAACCAAAAATAAGTGTCCTTGGGACGTCCCATCCCGTACATCTCATGCAATGTCCAAGCAAGGACGTCCACGGAATGTCCCAGCTGGTACATCATTTCAAATGTCCTAGAAATAGCATCCTTCAGACGTCTCACGTGGTACATATTGTAGAATGTCCATGCAAGGACATCCTTTGCATGTCCCTGATGGGATATGATCTTAAACGTTCCTTTAGGGATATCCATCGGATGTTCCGAGTAGTACATATTCTGGCATGACTTCAGATCTTATATAATGTCCCTTCTAGACAACCATGAAATGTCCCTGATGGTACATTCCTTCAAATATCTCTGCACAGACGCGCTTAATATTTCCAGGATCGTATTGGATCAATTATTGGTAAAAAATCCATCTATCTCAATGGAATGATGCAATACAATTCGTACTACCAAATAACTTGAAGCTGAATAATAGGATTGAAAAATTCAAACAGATGACAGTTAGAACAATGAAGTATTCAGCGGAGTGAACAGTTTCATTCACCATTGGCGTGCATAGTTGAGGGGTACGGAAAAGGTCATTATTCGAAAAAAGGACCCAATTCATATTTTCGAAATCTCGAGAATAAATGCACAATCCCGCTTTTCAGGACTACGACCCAAAATCTCATCAGTTATTATTGATGTGATTTTTTCGAAACTGTGATGGTGATTGTATGTAAATTTTTTAACCTACAATCACTATCAAAATTTCAAGAAAATCGCATCGTTGATAACTGAGATTTAAGGGTGTTGTCATATGAAAAGCGGGATTTTGAAATATGTTATTTTAGCTCTTGGGGGTTTTTGGAGATGCTGATTATGAATCTGATAAGAAGAGTTGGTAAAACTGCATTTATCATTCGATGGTTTTTTTTTTTCAAAGTTTTTTTTGGTACTTACGTATTTTTGTCTGAAAAACACGAATTTGATAATGCAAATGTGAACAAACCACTATTTTTCGAGATATTTCAAGGAAAAGTTCGAAATTTTGCCTTCATTTTTCCCTTGTGTTGGATGCATTTACAGGTGAAACTTGGCCTTTTCATTTTGTCATTGGACACTTCATATATACTCATTTTGTACTTCAATGATACATTTATATATAGAAAATTCAACAGAAAATGTGATTTTTATGGTGGGTTTTTCATATTTAGTGAACAAGCATACCAGATGATTTAATCAATAGTCAATCCAAATACGAGATGTCAGATGTCAACAGATTGCTTTTGAATGGCATTACACACGCCATTATTTCAAATGATATTCTTCCTTCTTTTTAACTGAATATGGATAGATCACAAGAAAATCATGTTTCTATAGTTGACTCATATACAGGGTCGCTGATATGTATGGAAACAGGTGAATATCTCGGTAACCTGTTGTTAGATTTTTTTGAATTTATGTACTGTGTGATTTCAAAACGTGGCGGATTTGAAAAAGTTATAGCCAATGTTGCCACTTTTCCAGTTATTCCGGATTTTTCATCAACTTTCTTATTTAGAATGGAACACCCTGTACTTTATTGGATTTTCAAATTCTTCTCGAGGAGCTGATTCCATCGATCTATCACACTTGAGGTCTAGGGGGAATGATTACATAGGTATTGGATGTTTAAAATCTAGGTTTTTCAACTTTAGGATTTTTTTGTGTCGAAACTATTCATCATCGATCCAATGTTCCTATATTTACTTTTGATTTACTATCTACTGACATTTAATAGAAAAAATACAGGGTGGTTCAAGATTCAGAATTCTGATCACCCTCTGTATCTGTTCCAATTAAATGTCAGTAGATAGTCAATCAAAAGTAAAGATAGGAACATCGGAGCGGTTTTGATCGATAATGGATAGTTTCGACTCAAAAAAATCCTCAAGTTGAAAAATCTAGATTTTAAACACCCTATACCCATGTAATAATTCCCGCTAGACCCCAAGTGTGATAGATCGATGGAATCAGTTCTTCAAGGAGAATCTGAAAATCCAATAAAGTACAGGGTGTTTCATTCAAAATAAGGAAGTTACAAAAAAATCCGGAATAACCGAAGAAGTTGCAACGTTGGCTATACCATTCTCAAATCCGCCACGTTCTGACATCACACTGTACATAAATTCAAAAAGAATCAACAACAGATTACCGAGATATTCACCTGTTTCCATACATATCAGCGACCCTGTATAATAGAAAATAATGTGTCGTACATTGTGATATATAAAAATTGTCCAATGATGAAAAAAGAAAGGGCAAATTGTTCTAAATGCGATCCAGTAGACAGGCGGAAATATCTTAATAAATAATGGTTTGTTCACATTTCCAGTAGGTATAAAATTCGTGTGTACCAAAAAAATAATGATAAATGCAGTTTTACTAAAAAGTTATTTGAAATGAGTAATATCCTTTTCAACTCAACATCGCACACCAATGGTGAATGAAACTGTTAATTCTGCTAAATACTTCCTTATACTGACATAGGTACAATCACTACAAAAATTTCAAGAGAATCGCACCATCAATAACTCAGATATCAGGGGGTGTATTCATGAAAAGCGGGCCACACTGTATATAAACTCCAAAGGCAAGAAAAATCCTATAGGTACGCACGACATTATAGGGATTCCCTTTCGTGTGCTCCAAGAGATAAAACAAATCTCCGGATAATCGATGAAAAGCGAGCTTTCCCTCATTCCGACTCTGTCTCTGAAAACGAGGAAACAGCGCAATATCGATTGATAAAACGAGTAGCTAACCTTTCACACCAGCCTACTGCGATGTCTACCAAACAATGACAACATAACCAGTGGAACAACAAACGCAGCAATAAATTGCGATCATATGGTTGAAAAACAAAAACACATCGACAAAATATGCGAAGGTTTACCTATAGCGCTCGCGATCAAGAAAAATTATACACTAACGGTTTGTGCGTCAACGGTGCAAGACTACGTTTATTAAAAAACCTGAAAAAGTGTCGAGCTAACAAAAATATCCAAATAAACGACGTGGACATAGATGATCAAGCAGACATCACCACAACAGTGAAAACCCATCAAAACCACTTGAGGAAGGAAGAAGATAATCAAAGGAAAACCTTGAAATTGAATGTGACCGATTGTAAAAACAGCCAAGTGTTCAACAAGCAACTGCGCCAGATATACGAAACCATAGAAGTACACGATTTTGAAAGGATTCTGAGCGATATCTATCAAAGCGAATCCTTCAAAAAACAAGCCAAAAACAAAGCAGATGACATACTGACGAAAATTAACGCCGAAGAAATATACCAAGAACATTTTGGGCAATACGTAGACTATCTGAAGAATGTGACTAACAACATCACTACCAGCTAAGCCACCTACGTCATGCTATTCACAAACAAATCAAGGAGATAATTTGAGTAGCAAACAAGCAGTTATTTGCAATTTGGTTCAATTCGCTTTTAATATACTAAGTGCCAGTGCAATTTAAACTATTCATCCATCGAGCAAGCACACACACACAGACAGATTTTTCAGTATCGTCCCAAAATAGTGTCACTCTAGTAAGATCGTAGCAGCCTCTGAACCAGAAACAAACAATCACCGTACGTATCGAGAAAATGCCTTTATCACGCTTCCTGCCTTAAATTTACGCAAAAAAATATACCCAGTAGCTAGTCAGTTCGCTGTGATACAATACAGGGTGTTGGTTTTCGCGCAGCCATGGATTGCAAGAATTTGGGCAACGTGGGCCCGCAAATCAAGACCAGGGAGTTGGATAGGAAAGTTTTAAGGGATACTCTGTATTCGGAGATCATCCAGAAGCACAGGAGGTCCATTTTCGCGTTCGGCTCGTTCCTGAGGATGCTGAAGACTAAGAAGTCGAATTATAATGTGATCAGACAGGAGGGGGAGTCAGAATAATAGAGGGATGGTTGTTGAAGGACCGAATAAGATGGACTTGTGTTGGCAAGGGAACAGTGATTGTTATTGTGAAGTTGTTATGAGATAACATGAAATATTATTGATAGGTTAAGTTCTAGGTAAGTGGTACAGGGTGAACATGCTGGTTCCACTTGTTGCTCCTTTATTTTTTTCTATTTCGACGATTTAATTCATGTATCAAAAATTCCACAAGGCGCTGTGATTTTTTCATTATGGCAGCGAGAACAGTTTTCCATAGACGAATCGGAACATAATAATAATTATTGAGAGTATGCGACAATCAAAATTTTAAACAATTCTTTAATGGCGTTTGTGTCAATTCTTCTCAAACTTCTGTTGTCGGAGAGGTATCTAATCTGTGGAAATATCGCGATTTGGAGAGCCTTCGAGTGGAGAAATTGAAAAAACAATCAACAATAATGTGAAGTAAACTCGACATTTATAATTCGAGCTATGTTGTGTTTAGGAAATTCAACTCAAATAACTGCAAGAAGAAAGTACTCGTCTTGCGGACTATATGTTATTTTTTCTGTGACGGAAAAAACGTTTGAAATTTCATCTCTGTTGACAGGTTAAAAAATGTTACTTTTTATTGATTACTTTTTCCGTTTACCCGTTTCCCGGATATATATCACACATATATATACGATATTGATGGCTTTTGTTGTGCTATAGATCCGAGAAATAAGTCAATTACACTGTCTCCGAGAGAGAACTGCAAGTCCTTTTATCTTCCTTTCGACTTCGCGGTTACATAAATTACTAAATAACCACTAAATCCACAATTTTTTGAAATCAAATCACAGAATTAGACTGACAGATATTTGATTACTTATAAAAAATGATAAAGATGCCTGCAACGCCAGTGTCATTAATGTTGAAAACAAATTTCACGTCGATAATTTTCTGATTTTAATATAATGCAATATCTTCTCAATAGAGTGATTCGCCATTTTTCCTGTCACATGAAAAAATAGTGTATTATACACGGGAAAAATATCAAATTGTAGCTCACGGTTTTTGTCAACAACCTGGAGCTAAAATCTACTGCTTTTTTCCTTTGTATAATAAATGACTATTTTTCCCAGGCAATCTTTTCTCGTTGAATTTCCGAATTATAATATCCTCATTGAGTTGTCAAGTTTACTTCGAGAAATCTTGTGTAATTACAAGTAAATATACCTTGAGTGATTTAAAAAGAGGTCAGATAATAAGGTCGCATTTTTTTCTATTCCTGAGATTCGTGAACCTTAAAATAGAAAAAAATCAAATAAAATGATTTGATAAACACTTCATACTAGACTGAATTTTCAACATTTTCCGAGACATTTTCTATATTTTCTCAAAAATTCCACATATTCGGATGATGTGGTTTCAATTAAATTCATTGGGTGTATGTGATTCAGGTTTCAAAGTACAACCTAAAATGGTTGATAGATCTCATCATTTTAATTAAAAAAGTTCATACAAACATGGGTCCGATCTCGATCAGTAGCGGAGCTACAGTGTCAAATTTTAATAATTTTTTTCATCAATCGATTTACCTCGCTTACTTCTGAAATTTGGTGTAGTTATTAATTTTCATGAGATCATCATTTTGAACATTCTAAAGGTTTTTGAGATCCACAGGGTGATACGTTTTTGGGGATAGAGGCTTATTCAACCCCCCCCAAACCTTTTTTGTTGTTCTCCTCTGACATCTCCCAGTTTCCAAATAGTTTGGATCGTTCAATTTCGAGGCTTTCTTTGCCTCTCAACTTGTTCCGACGAATTAACCGTTCTCGGGATAAATAAGCAGCTGTAGGAAAGATTTGGGGAGCGAAAAAAGCCTTCAAATTGAACGATCCACGCTATTTGGCAACTGAAAGATGTCAAAGGCGTACCATGAAAAAGTTTGGGGGGGATTAAAGAAGTCTCTACTTCAAAAAACGTATCATGCTGTAGATTTCTGAAATCTTCAGAATGCTTCAAATGATGATCTTCTAGAAAGTATTGACCATACCCAATTTCATATTAATATCTCTAGAAATGAGCGAGATATTCGAATTGATAAAAAATAATTAAACTTGTAGCTGATCCGAGAGCTGATCAAGATAGGACCCATGTTTATATAAACTTTTTTGATTAAAATGATGTTATCATTCCAATTGTGACCTTTTGTATTGAATGGTACATTGTTTATATACAGGGTGTTTTGTAAAAATAATGGATGATAGATATTATTACTTATAGGAAGACCAAGCACAACACATTGATCGATTTGTATAGTTTTTGAGATTGAATGACAGTAAACGAGCATGAATTTACAGGGTGATACCACAATATCAATGAAATTTGGATTTGAAGAAACTTGAGGAGTTTGTAAATTTATCTAATCCATCAAGATGTCCGTGTTTCTCAAGGTGGAATATACAAGATGATACACAATAACTATTTTATTTCTTGCTGTATCATCCTGTATATTCACCCAATACAAGTTGATCAATGTATTGTTCTCGGTCTTGCTGTAATGATATCTATGCAGTGTTTTTTCAAAACACTGTAAGCAAAATAGTTATTTGTTTAACTAGGCAGCAAAGTAGTAGATTGACTGCCGTGGCTGAATTCATAGCCGAGCGTAGCGAGGCTAGGAATCCAGCTAAGTCAGTCAATCTACTTTGCTGCCGAGTTGAACATATAATTTTTTCTCCGATTGTTCATAATGATATGGGAGAATATTGTATTTGCGAATTAATACAATTCCCACAATCTCTTTATTCTTCCTGTATAGTGTTCAATTAAAATAAAATTTGATAGGAATCGCAGTTGTTGGTTTGACAATTCATGAAATTTCTGACAGTTGTGCGAAAAAATATCGGTATATTTAAATTATTATATAATGGACAGTGATAGCGACCTGAAAGTATAATTACACCTCCATTAATAAGGGAGGTGGCAAAAAATATAGAGTTGAATTTGTTGCCGGGGAAGTCTCGGAATATGAAGGAAATTATAAACGATTTATGGATTTTTAATTTTGCTGATACATATCAATCAGCAAAGTAACCACTTTGCTGCCTAGGCAGGAAAAGTACTACTTTGCTGATTGATATGTGTCAGCAAAATCAATATTTGCTGCCGATCGGAGGAAAAATACATTTCATGCAAATATAGGGCACAAAATAATCCGAGAAATAATCTAACAAAGAATTAAATATCTGAAAAAGTGCTGAAAAGAAAAGTATTTCTGGTCAGTACAAGGACACACATTTCTCGAGAAAAAAATATAAATAAAATAGTGTTTTGAGTATTCGAAGAGGTATCTAAGACATTCCGAAGAATATGCTCAAACATTTAAAAAATATTATTGAAAAAAGAGATTTGTTTGTCACCCTGCATAAATAGATGCCACTATGTATTTTCATCACCTATTATTTTCAAAATGAGAAAAATTGCATTAGATCTTTTGCGAAAATATTATTATGTTGAATTTAGTTCAAGAATGTGCTATAGTGGCGGTTCAATTGATCAGTGGTTAACTCAGAATTTGTTAAAAAAACATCACAGACAGTGCATTTACAAATTTGGAACATTCTGTACGAATAATACTTTAATTGAAATTTAACGATCTCAAGATTATTGATTTAATGTTTAGATGATACAAGTGTTTATTCCTCGGTTTATTCCTAAGTGGAATTGACAGGAAATTCACATCCAAGTTGATAACTTGAATCCTTGACAAAATTGAATTCATAGGGTAAACATAGAAGAAAAAAATTACCATCATAATCAATATAGTTGTCACAAAATCACTATACTTTCATGTCCTAACAGTTACTCTGATTTAGGAAAAAAATTCTCAGGTTGCCAAAGTTGGATATTCCGAAAATATTTGCCGAGATATTTACAATTAAACAGGGTCGTATTTAATATAAGTAAGTCAATAAAAATCTTAAAAGAAACTCGTATAGTTTTCCTCACGAATATATAATGAAGAATCACGCAATGAATGAACACCCTGTACCCCGTATACAAGGCGTGTCAATAGTGTGTGGCCTCTATATGAATGTCGAAATTTTTTTGAAGTGAGAGTGATATGAAATGAATTTGTTATTTTCTTCTAGTCCATGCACTATCGGTACACCCTATATACATTTATTGATATATATATATACATAAATATTCTCCTGTGTATATAAGCTTTTGTGAGTGCATTTAGGACTTCTCCAAAATTTTTGTGAGAAACCCGTCGAAACGAAATCATAATTTTGTTTGTTAATTCTGAAAGTTATTTCTTCAATACGTGCTATTTTTACCTACACATTTTTATATCCATGAGAAGTTATGTCAGTTGAGACAAAAACAATGTTTTGGACGATTCATCCTCTAAATAAAATTTCAAAAAGCTATTCCCGTATGTTGTGTTTATTTTCATCTGCCATGATTGATATCCAATTGCATCTTCATCTAGGAAAAAACGCAGTTGCCCGAAATGATTGTCACTTATAAGCAGAATTGTCGGATTTGATTATGCTGCGTGGGAGATTAGATTAGAAAAATTTCTAGGAACATTTTATAAACTGGAGTTGCTTTCAATATGATGAGAAGATGTACCCTACGACCCATAAAATTTGATACTTAGGTATAACTCGTTTTTATTACTAATATCCCAGGCAACCAGATGACGTTCTAGTGACGTCTTTTTCACGTCACTTGAATGACCAAGGTGACGTCAGTAGTTGACGTCGCATTGACGTGACAAACTGTGACGTCCGACTGAAGTCATAATGACAGGACGTCCCTGCAACGTCATTAAACTGACGTCTTCTTTTACCCATCTAAGTGACGTTTACTCGACGTCGAAACTATGACGTGATTATCACGTTATAGAAAGTACGTCATAATGACGTCATAATTTGGTGTGTGACGTCTCTGACGAAAAATCACCAATTAGTGACGCCACAGTGACGTGATCATTCGTCATCTGGTTGCCTGGGATG